TGCATTGTCTTTAGTTTTGAGGTTACATATACCTCCGTCCAGTTATACTAGCAAGTTTTCCTTGATTTGCAACAGCAAGTAAACGGCTGCACCAGCCGGTTATTTTCAAGAATCATCTTCGTCTAGATATCTGTTTATATGCTTTTAGGACATTAGTTCAACAGTTAACATTGTATCGGTTCGCGGACAAGCCATAAGTAAAAGAACGAAACATTTTCGCTTAAAATGTTTTGTCTTTTAGTAATCATTATTTGCAATATTTCAAAAGGTGATTATTTTTTTAATAAATTCTAACAAAGTGTACTTATATGCGGTAATAAGTGTTGGGCTTTTTTTTTTTACTCAGCGCAGTTGTTGATCTTAAATAGAGAAGACATTAAATTGCTTATACAACGGCATATGAATATTGAACCGCTTTATTGTCAATTTTTGCGAGCTGATTTTTGTCCTCATAAATATTTGGATTTTAGGCTACATACACAGTAAGTCGACATTATTTATAAAACAAGAATATGCGAAAGTTGTTCGTTCACAAGTTATCCTTACTTTCCCCACCTACTTCAGCTAAGAGAAACAGCCGTAAATGCCGAATTTCAAATATGCCTCAGCAGTTAACTAATACCACAAAGTCAGGCGAGGTCGGCAATTAATTACTCTGCACTACTTCGTTTGCTGCAATTCGTTATTTATTTGCTTAAGAAAATACCAAAAATTATTCTTAGATACATCTTCCATGGTAGGCTTTGTATTAAGGAGGGGCCAAAATTAACCTTCACTCAAAGGCCTATTTTCATAAGAAGTAAAAAACTAGTTTTTGTTACCATAAAAGACATTTTTATGTACCGCATGCTTGGTATAATTAATTTTTATATCAAATTAATATTATCAACCGATTTTCATCAAAAAGGACCGATGCCATGGATTATGCAAAAAAGATTGAACGGACGTGAGACGAAAAAAGTTCGAGACTTGCTTAAATAGATATCAGAAAACGCTTTTAAACGGATAAGTATAATAAAAATTGGCTCTACCTTAAATCCTTCTGAATATTGCATACATCCACACAAATCAAATATATGCCCGCAGGTGGCATAGTGTATAAAAATATGATAACTTTCAGATTAATTTGATATCTCTATTTAAAGAGCAAAGAATGAATTTTAGAAAATCGAAAACTCTAAGCCTAATACCACCTTGGCATAGTAGAATACGTCTTACTTTCCTTTTAGAGCCATTTCGCCCCAAAAAAAAAAATGTGTTCCAATATTAGTAATCTGTGCAAAAAAATTGTGCTCCTAGTTCTCTTTACCTACTCATCTCACTGTCAAATGTCGGTTACTGTATGTATGTGTTGTGTAAAGTCAAAAAAATAATAAGTAATACAAAAATAAAGTTAATCGTATCAAGTAGTCTTCAAACATTTTCCTCTAGTCATCTCGCTTGTCACTAAGAAGAACAAAAGACTTAAGACACAAACGCGATCTTGTATTACAAAAAAGTTTGATAAAAAAATGTTTCAATTATTTATGAGCGCTATTTGTAACAACTACTTATTAACACAATGAGCACAATGAACAATCATTGCATCGTGTCAAAGTAAATCATTACAACATAATCTACATCTCATGCATACAATTAATAATATCTTACACCCGCGAAAGATGAAGATACACAGGTTTTATCATTTCGTTTGTAACACCTGCTAATATGAACCTAAAAAATGTGTGTTGGTTTATTCAATATGTGATTCTGAATCGATTTGGCACGATCCATATAATGAACTGTTGCTTGGGTCGCTCATACTAATACGACAGCAGGACATGAAACTAGGCTAGAACTCAGCGCTTAGGATCAAAGATTACAAACAGGTGCACGGGATTCATAAAAGAAATTGAAGAATACATAAAAGACAAAAATTTCAAAATTAACTTATCAGCCGCTTTGATATTCTTAATGATATATCGAATTAAAAATAGATGCTACTTGTCAGAAACGTCTGAAAGTTTAGTGCGAAAATAATCATGAGACTTATGATTTTTGCATATTTTCTTGACTTGGCGGATATCGGCGGGGTCTCTCGCCAAGCAAATATAAGTTTTTACCAATTTGCACTCACTACTAGAGAATACCAATTTTATCATCTAGCAATACACATAAGCGTAAGATGAGCATTAATTTCTATAACAATTTATTCGCTAGAGTCGGTCCCTTCTTTGTGAGCATTCTCCAAATTCCCCAAGAAGAAGAACTGAATTTTGAAAAATGTATGTCCTTTTAATGGCCTTACATAAGTTACATGATAAACAGCTGATGGAATTCGGAAGTCATAATCAAGTCATGCAGATACTTGTCAGTAAAAGCTAATGCAATCTTACAAAAAACTGAAAATTTCAAAATGTTTACTCAATATATCTTAAGCTACAATGGATATCGATTGGAAATTTGTTACAATCTCTTACGATATGAAAAAGATCATGATTGACCTACATTTGTGAAAAAGTCTTTCGATTTTTACCCGTTTGCTTGAGCTAATGGTCACACGCGATATGCTTCAGCATATATGTGTGTGTTTTCTCACTTGTTCACTTGAATTAATGCAAGTCAAATAGTTTATGAATATTTGAGTAATAATTTCGTAAACAAGTTATAAAGAAAAATATATAATTCAACTCATGGTTAAAAGAAATAAAACAAATGGGAAAATTATAATCGGATGTGACCAAATCTATTATACCCACCACCTCTAAGACTTAAAAGCCTATAGGAAAAATGGAAAAACTATTAAATTTCTACACATTATGATATTGGCTGGCTGGCTGGCCATAGCTGACTTTTTTCAAGCGTTACAAACTAACTAACTGGAATTTGGTCATGTATTTGCGATATTTTAGTAACAAATAATCCGAAAAGAAGAGTTGTTTGGGGGCATAGACTGTACCATAGGCGTGTCTTTCGACCGATTTGGTCCATTTTCATCACTTAACTTCATTTTTCCGGCCAACAGAATGTTTATCACAAACTACGCAAACACAGCTAGACGGACGGACGTACTTAAATCGATTCGGAATTGGTGAGGCGTTTGAAGTTTCCTTTTGTGTGTTTCAAATCTTTGAAAAAAATGAATATACCGCCATCTTTCAGTTGTTGGATATAAAAAAGTTCAGTTAATTAAATCTCATCACATAACAGCAAAAACTTTTTATATATTCGTATGTGAACACATATGTGAATAAAAAAGTTATAATGGTCTCAAGTAAAAATGAAATGAACGGGCTTCCTAACACGTAATTGTAATAAAATCCTACATTATATTCATCGTTAACCGGAATAAGTAACACAAAAATAAAGTTTGCGAGCCCAACTCATAATGCAACAGACGCACTCGCTCTGAACGAAAAATACCCTAAATTAATTATTTAAAACCTGCGCTTATCGCACACTTAGTCGCTGTAATTTCAGATGATGTGTATATGAAAGCTCTGACCCACTGTATCCCACTGTAATACAATAACCATGAGGATAAGCTATAAGTTTTTTTTTTTTAATAACAGGCAGACAAGCACAACTCTTTCTCTCTCTCTTATCTGAATACATTTGCGGGGAATGAAATCACCTTTCAATGAGGCATCTTGATCCAGGCTCAAATCAGGAGAACTTAAGCCTGCGGTCGAGTCTGCACAATAGACAGTAGTCAAGTGTGAACTACCTTCTTATGCAGCAACCTTAATAGCCAGAGATAAAAAATTTAATAAAATGTTTAATACGTTGCCAAAGCAAACGTTGTTGTCTTTATTTATCTAGAAAACGGACTGAAGTCTAAACAAGTAAGAAAATTATATTCGATTTTGACCGAATCTTTTACACTCATCTATAATCGGTAGAGAGCTCGGCTAATTTTTTCTTTTTTTTTAAATAAAAGTTTTTGTCGCACAGGTTTGTGGGCGCTGTAGGCATGTCCTTGGAAGAGTTTAATTCACTTTCAATTTCTTTTGCAAATTTTGAAGCGAAATCTTAATTTTCGTTAACGGGGAGAATGTTTACCGCAAATGCTATAAAGTCGCGCAGACAGACGGATGGACAGACGGACATACTTAAGTGCATTCTAAATTTAAAATTTGAAAGAATTTATGTACTTTAGGGTGTTTTTGAAGATTTTTGCTGTGCTTTATGAAGGTATTGAAATGATACACTATAACATTGGGTAGGCGTGGTGATTTTTTTCCATTTTTGTATAGGCAGCAGGGCATTTCAATTCGATAACTTGACGTTGGCGGCCAGGAGAATGTTTACAACAGATATTACCCGGCCAGAAGGACAGACAGACATGCTTAAATCGATTTAAAGAATATATATGAACATTGTCGAGTCTCTGATGGTTCTTTCTGGGCGTTGAAAATATTTTGGTAATATAATTATACCCCTCATCGTTCGGTATTGGGTATAAAAAAAATCAACGGATTTATTTGTTCAAATTCCGATACTTTTTGATTCAAGTGTACGCATGCGCCTTCTATACAAATGAACAGTTCATTCATGCCAACTGTGTCTGGGCCGATTAGCGGATGTCTTTTTGCAGATGAGTTGAAAAACAAATGCAATTGATTCGCGATGATGATGATGATGATTATGATCATGATCATGACGATAATGAGGTGATGATGATGATGATGATATTACCAACAACACTAGTTGTTATGATTAAAAACAAAAAAAAAAAAGAAGCGCTCTATCTGGAGAGACTGAGAGAAAACAATATAGCAGTGGAGCATTACCAGGAATTCAAGTGTATCGAGCAAAATTAGCCGCAAGTTGAGTGGCAATCAAATCAACTAAACCGTTGGGAAATAAACACTAAGTAACGGTAACTGAAGGAAAGCACACACAATATGCGATTTTAGCGGCAAAATTTCAAAGCGGAAAAAATTTCGAGTAAATACAAAAAAAAAAAAAAAAAAGACGAAAAAAAGAAAATTCGAAACTAAATTACGTGAAAGTGTTGTTTTTCCACAAATTTTATTAAGGATTATGTTTAGAAAAAAAGTGCAATTTTCCACAATCAAAATGCATTTTTCAACTGCAATATATACCGTCTTTATATGCATTTGTGCTGAAGCAATCATTTTGAATGATATTGACTTGAAAAATTTTGTTCGCAGCGGTGCTTTAGATGTAAATATTTTACGTTGTTTTCTTCGTAACCGCAACACCTGCCCAAGTCCTTATATTGAATATCGCTTATATACACCGTAAGTGAAAATTTATTAAAGAAATAATATAAAATATGATAGAAAATTACAAAGCAAACGAAGCGTTTATAATGAAAATCATGTGCGAATGAAAAGAAAGAAAGAAAGAAAATTAAAATTAACAAAAACAGAGCAAAACAAAGAAAAATTTTGGGGAAAAAATATTCTGCCCAAACTGTGTTAAAGTGTAATAACTAAATATGGAAAAATAATTAGCAAATAAATCAACAATTCATTTGAAGCTACTTAATTAATTAATTAATTAAAAAGTGTTTCCCTAAACCTGTTTTGTTTAACGCATGTTATTTACGAATTAACTTCAACTTGAAAGTGCAAATTTACCGATAAAATAATCAAAAAAAAAAAAAAAAAAAAAAAAAAAGAAAAGACCGGAGATTAAAATAAGTGGCGTCAAGAATTTCTTGCATAAATAACAATTGCGGCTCTTGCGGGTCCTACATTTTTGGGTTTTTCTTCTTTTATATTTAAATTTTATAATTTTTTGGCGTCTTTTTTTGACAAGGGTCTCATTCATAATCAGTGAACAACATGATTTGTAGAAAAATAGTGGTTTACTCCTCATCGCAACCTCACTAGTAATGTTCTAACACTCAAAGTCATTTCCCTTTATAATACTTTCATGCAAACGCCATACCCAAATACGTAAGGAAGATTGCGAGTGTTCGCAAGAGTGTGCGAGATGAGTCGATATTATTAGTCAATGAATCTGTAAGCAGTTTACGCTTTACTTTTACGACAAACTGCAAGTGTCGGATTGAATCGGTTTAAGAAAAATATGTGATAATTGGGCAAGTCCGACCTTTCAATACCCTAAGCAATTTGTCTAAAGCAATTCTTTATTTATTTCTTCGATAAAATACAAAAAATTCCGCCTTGTTCCCATGTAAAGGCACACTCATCATGGAAGGCGAACGGACATATTTTTAATCCACTAAAGTTAAGATTTGGTTGCCATGAAAAAACGTAGTTTTCATGAGCTACGTTTCAAGAAATAGATCTACATGGTCAAAATTGCGTCCAGTTAATTCTCGTGTCATATTACCCTTATATCAAGAAATTTTTATCACAAAATATTATAAATTAGACATTTTTCAAATACAAAGGCTTCCTTTTTGTAGGCTTATTGACCTATTCAATCCACTTTGTCTTTGAGGCAAAACAAGTTAAATGCAACAAATTTCATTAAAAAAGCTCAAAACCTGCGAGAAGAGACATCGGACAGAGAAGCAGAAAAGCCTAAACCAATGCAGATAATGATTCCTAAACGATCAGTGTAGTAAATGATGCGTCTACCTCAAGTAGTTCGAAGTGTCATGTTCAAGAGAGATATACCCTGCACCACAAGTGCTGAAGAACGTAAAACTTCAGATGTCCAGAACACATCGTTCCTTGTCTGAATAAGTGCCGTAGTCATTATCATTCAGATACAGAAAAATAAGTGAAAACATTATAAACCCTCGGTCACTTCACTTAACATAATTAAGTTCAAAATCAATCTAGCAGAGTTACTTAACCCATAAAGTTCTCATGTTAAATTTGGTCCACGTTCATCTGTATTTGAAATATTTCTCATATAGGCTTTTGTAATTTCATCTGGCTGCCAGATGACAGGTTGGTCTAAATTGAAAATAGCTTAAGACTAATAGGTTCGTTGATAAAAAATAAATAAATAAATTAATATACAAATTTGGACAAAGACGTCTCAAATTTTTAATTACTTCCTATATACGACCTTTTTAATCGTTTTCTATTTTTTATTAAATTCTTAACTTTGGAAAATAGCGGACCAAGGGATGTAGAATCTTGCTGCCTAACCTTAACCATCTTTTTTTTCATTTAATTTTTGTAAGACCTATTTGAGACGTTTTTTTTTATAGATCTGGTTCACGGTTAACATTAAAATATATTCTTTTTCACTTAGTAGGCTTTTTCGTTACTTTTTTTATTCATTATTCATTATTTTTTGCTCAAAATTATTATCAAATTATTCCTGGTCTCACCGATCGTTAATAACCTTAAGAAGAACTGGACAGTTACTGCACCTGTTTTCTTTACTCATTGCTATCGTTTGCAAAATTAGTCTTACGTCATGGGAATAACGTTACGTAGGTGAAAATATATTGAAGCTTTTTTTTTTTTTTTATTTTTTCGATAATTTTGAGTTTTTTTCAAAGTCTTGTAGCTATTGAGGATTGAATAAAATCTATATTTTTCACTTGACTCAATTCTTAAATCTCTAGCAGAATTTTCATGCAAAGGCATATGACTATATCGGCAGGGAAAGGGAGGAAAAGGACTGGAACGAAAAAGAATTAAAAAGACTTACCACCTAAGCGTATTAACTAAAAGCATAAGAAAAAGACTGCCAAGAAGAAATAGTACTACAAAGGAGCCTTTTTCAAGGTTACCACTTCTATCAAAATTCCTCGCATCTAAGCTTGTGTAAGGCCCAGACAGTGGAAACTGGGGTCGAAGAATAAGGAAAACAACAAATCAATCGTATGATTCTACTTCTTCAGCTTCCTTTTACTTTCGCAAGCGTTTCACCTGCACACACACACACACACACACACATGTCGCGCTACGAAAATCATATAAAAATAAATAAAAACCCAAAACATATCAAATCAAGAGTCGAGAAAATAAAATAAACTAAGAATATAATCGGAACTTGGAAAAGATCACTTCCCGTGAAATGATTACACCATCGTGGCGGGCATTATAAAAAGGAAAAAATGTATATAAATGCATATATATACATCTAAAGTCAAGCTGACCGCCAACGTTATTAAGGTTCAAACATAAAACTTTATGTTCACACTGAACCATTTTCACTTGACTCAGTAAATCATTTGTTGTTGACTTGGTGACTTGGTGGTAGAAGAAGAAGAAATAACGAGTGAAAAGTTATAATTTTTATTGGAAGCAATAACCTATTAACGTTAAAGGTTAGATTAGGAATCTACTACAAATGTATTCGAAAAAGTAACTGCCTCCGGAAGGAGGTTTTGCCGCAAATCTCAGGAAAACATTGCACAAAAATGAAAGACGCATGTAAGATTTCTTTTCCATAAATGATTGTCGAAAATTCAAGTTTACAAAATTTAAAATTCATTTAATTTCTCAAATATTTTTCCTCCTATCAAATCGGAAACTATGTCAACAAACGCGTTTCGTTTGTGTTAGTAGCGAAAACATTGCTCTTGACCATGCGAAATAAGGATTTTTTAGTGTATAGACACAAACAACTTCAACAAGTTTTTTTGGCATATAAAAGAAGAAAAAAAAAATTGAAAGTGCAATAACAACAACAACAATAGCAGTTAGTTTATAATAAGCCGGCTTAAATTGAAAACCAACGACTCAGCCAGCGAGTCACAAAATATTTCATTTCCATTTATGTTGTTTAATGTGCACACTAATCTCACTTGCAAATGTAAACAAGTGTCTCTTGATACTACTTTTTCTTTTGATCACTGTACTGTTTGAAGACTGTGCTGTTGGGATTTACAGTCGTAAGTAAATAAATAAACAAACAAGTTTTTGCTTTCGTTTATCATATAAGAATTTTTATTTGAATTTTTCTTTTAAACCAAAAACTTATCCATAAGAACTGTCTATGCATTGCAATCTGTATTAAAGAACTGCATGGTTCGCATGATTATGGACGGACAGTGTTCATGATCAAGGTAGTAGTAGTTTGGTGATGAAATACATTTACAATTTGGGATCAGTTTTAGAATTTTCACCTTAAACTTGTGGGAACATTGTGAACAGACAATGGAGCGGAGATCTTCGTGTTCAAGCATTATATTATGCCGATCAAAAGTGTTTATAAAAAATAGTCTTTCATTCAAGCATAGTAATATAGAATGTCTGTAAAGGTTGATATAAGATGAATAGTTAGCATTTTAAACGTTGGCAAATCGCGCAAGAATACAACAACAACTCAACATATGCATTAATGTCTTCAATTGATTTAAATACGTCAACGTCGTACAATTGCGTTTCTCTCTATTGCTAGTACGTTTACAACAGAAGCTTGAAAGCTAAACCAGAACTAAAACAATGGATTATTGCTCACTAATGCATGAACTTCTCACCCTATACACACTTAAGACAACTGGTAATGCCGGTAACGCGAGCTCGCGTCGGATGCGGTTCACTTATTAAAATCACTTTCCTGGGACATTGCAAAATTCATTCATATCAGTTCTAAAGTAATCAGTTAATCACTTTGTATATATATAGTGAAGAACCCTATCTTGAAATATAAGCAAATCATAAAAAAAGTTTGAGGTGCAAACACAATCACATTAGCAGTTAAATAGGAATAGTGATATCAAGAATGCGTATGCGGCCTTTTCCAAATATTAGAAATCAAATCAAAATAATCTTGACTTAGGTCATTGACTTTGTCGTTCTCTTTGTCAGTTAATTTATTCCTTTACCATCTTGCAAGTCGCACTAATTGAAAAGAAATTTTAATCTTAACTCATATATGCTGGGGTATGTGGGTTTCAATGTGCTAAGAAGAAGGACGCCCTGTTTCAGATATTGATCCAAAATAATAAATAGTAAAAATTGTTTAATTTTATGAAAGTCCCAGCAAGTCAAACCTTACCCCGCCAACAAGAATGGAGAGAATTCTTTACAAACTTGAAAACAAATTATAAAAAAATCATTTCATTAAATATCGTTTGATTTCTTAAAAAGAGATTGATTTGAAAATTTTTACACCCGCAATCAAATCAATAAAATGCATCAATTTTCATATCCCGTTCGTAATACTCAATCGCAATGAAATTTCCGGTTTTCAGCTGGCGTGAGCGACGCGTTTTGTGAACATAAATATTTAAAATTGTGCCTTTTTGTAACTTGCACGTCTCGTAGCAATAATAACCAGGCATAACATCAAAAATGCACAAATACTTTTTTCTAACAACAAACAGGTCAAGTTTTGTGCGCAACAAACCGCTTTGGCGGGGAAAGTAACTATTCCCTCTTTATTCGAAGGACATTGCACTGCAACTTTTCCATACTTTCATGATAAACACAACGGATGCATTACGATGTATAAAATGCCAATTATGCAATCTAAACGAACCATTAACATTAACGATAAAATGAAGTATTCATGGCAGTCGACGGTGGATGGAAAGCAGCGTGTGATGTGCTATGGTTTCTTCCAGCCAAAGAAAACCCTCGCACTACGACCGCAAAAGACTGTGAGTTTTTTGTCATGATGAAACTCGCAGAAAATGTTAGCAACGCTAGCCTGGAATCTGCTAACCTCACCATTGTTATCGACAAGCACTACTCCTTCCATTTAGCTCTGACTACATGCAATGACTCAATGTCTGTTCGAGTAGAACTTTCGTTCTTAAAACGATAACCAAAATAAGTTTCTGATACTGCACGACCCGAAAACATCCACAAGATGATTATATTCTCCCTAAAAGATAAAAGGAGGCAGCTAATCACAGACGATACTTTTAATAAACCATTCTTTGTAATTCTCTTGAAATTTTCAATTTTCAACAAAAAAACTGTAACTGTAAACAGAGTAATGAGCCTAATAGGTATTTTTCAGGGAAACAGAAGGAAAACACCTATGAGTTATTAATAGTAAATATATCAATAGTCAACTTAATTAACAAAAATGTTACACTCTTCATTTATAAACAGTTCGCGTCAAGATTTGCGTCTCAAGGTTTACACAGCATTCATATTTATCTCCCAATTGCAATTTTTTCGAGTCACTATCTCTTGATTTCTTTATTGATATTTAAAATCAAATGAAATGAATTCGTTTCTACACGAGATTACCTCAAATCGGATTGTTTCAGAGTCATTTGAAATCTCAATTACATAATCTTTACTTATCAAGGCATGAGAGATAATAAAAAAATTAAAAGTCATTTCAACACTTGACTGGCTATAAATGTTTTACTATATTTTTAATGTGAATCTCATTATCTGCTTATTAATCAATGTCAATAACTTTGTTCCTCGTAAAAAAATTGTTTGATTACATAACTACGTACATATATGTGCCTTTAATAACACAAATTTGCTTAAGGTGTAAAAACCATTGCAACTTTCCTGCATATTTCTCTAGACATAGACTAGACTGACTGCTTCTTCCCCTTTTTCAAATTCAAATTTGAGTCAATTACACTGCCTGTCCCAAGGTAGCGTAGTTTAAAGAGACAATGGCCCCGGTTTTGCCGTTTTTTACTATTTCTCAGAAATAACATTTTTTTTCAAGTACGTAATAACCACCTCGACGAGTATTTTTATTCTATCCAAAAAAAAAAAATTTCAAAAACTCTTTCTCTACACTCGCACCACTTCCATGGCCAAATTTCAATCAATTGCATCCAATTAAAAATAAAATGAGCTTAAGGCAATTGAATTAGGATATTTATAAGTTATCCCACATTAAGTAAATAAACGAGTTGTGCCGTTTGGTCCAATTGCCCATTATAGCTTATCTAGGCGCAATAAATAACAATATTGATATATTAAAATTATTCAATATTCAATAAATTGGAATAGAAATAAACGCAGTTCACTCACTCACCAATTCACTAGTAAGAGAATTACCAATGCCGGACGGATAAATACCTCCGTCCCACGCTCCTTTTCTTTAGGATCCCCCATATAAAATGGTGATGGAGACCATGGGTAGGGCAAGATATAGACTTGCCTTAGGTATGAGACAAAGCCGTCCGGTAAATAAGTTTCGTCCCTCCGTTTGTCCGCGCAAGGGTTTTGTCACGTGAATTTCTTGGATGTAAATGTCTATGGAGTGTCTGTAGGATAAGATTTGAAAGCCCCTCAGCTCTCCTAAACTAGCCAGCTTATCAATGATACGCGCATCCATCCGTTGGCAACCTGCGATTCTTTCCGCCCTTAGGACTTTTCCGACTTTTTGACCGTTTCTTTTTTCTATTTTACATATATTGTTTTATTCCGTTTACCCATACCACACACAAAAGCGACAAGAGTTTCAGATAAGGAGGCAATTCTAACTTGCATAAAAGTCCCCCCGAAGTGGGACCCGAAAGAGAGTAAACGTAAAAATTCAAATGATTAGCAGACATGATATGTTACATAAAAGGGGCCCAAGGGGAAGAAATTCGGTTTTGGAAGTGTCGAACCCTATCGACATCTTGAGTGTACCTGGAGAACAGAATATCAATAAAATATTTAACTTGTACTCTACCGGCCAATAGTTTTGATTGCTAATGCTCATCCTACTTTTTTTAACAATAGACTAATGAAGTCCATTTTTTGCCGAAAAGAAAAAATATCGAACACTAGCAACATGGGTTATCGGCCCTATTTTAGAAAAGATTGTCATAAATCGACAGTCACAAAACAAGTCCTTCATTGTAAGAATTTGTCCATAATTGCAGATTGGAGAGAAAGAGGTCTAATCTGAACACATATATTATTTTTATTAAATTTTTGGATCAATATTTGCCCCTTCTTATGAGCTTGTAATGTCAAATTTTTCAAATCATTTTTTTTTTTTTTTTGTAAGCTTTTCAGCATAACGGATGTGTATATAGTCGAATTAAAGTCATTTTGAATTTCAAGCTTTCAAGTACAACTCTATCTCATGGAGTGGCAATTGCGGTTTTTGTCTCTTGTAATTAGGCTGCCGGACGGTGCTATTTACTATTCTCTTTCTAACGGCAGAAATTTGTCTCTGTAAAAAATTGCCAGCAACTTACCACAAGCGGTTTAAGCAACTGGAATACACATCCATATATTCAACAAACGCATCTACAACTATTACTATATATATATATATATATATATACTTAAGGTTCGTACTCTACATCAATTTTAACGATCAGGACACGAAGCTAAGTAAAGACTAACATAAGTCTTGCTGGTCATTGGCACATGTGCATCTTGTAGCCTCGACAGAGTGTTTCTCAAGATTGCAAGCAAAATAGAATATCTGCGTTCTTCCAAGACGATTTGGATTTTACCCTAAAGGGCTTGCAACTTTCGGATTTTCTTATTTTTATGTGGGTAAGACTAGATCTTACAAGAAAAAATATATACGGAACTTTTTAATCCCCAATAATGACCCGCATTTCTCTTTAAATAATAAAATTATTGATGCGTTTAGTATCTCTACCTTGGTGCCATCTATTTACAAATGTACTGAGCCTCGTATATTGATTTCATTCATTCAACATAGTAATTAACGGTATTTCTATTACAAGCCCCATTATTCTTTTACACGACCTTCTATTTGCATGTAAGTATGTATAAACATTTATTCACTTATTTAGGCGTTTAGTTAAACATATCATAAAAACAAAACCGAATGTTGTTTATTTTTCACTCTCTCTTTCTTTTCATTTTCAATCAAAGTTTCAATGTCATGTAGCATATAAATAAACTTGGTTTCGCTTGTAAACGGAAAACAAAGACAAAGAAAGTCAAAGAAACCAACCGTATTGTTAATAATAATTTCAAATTTCCAATACGTACATAAAAGCAATTGTTTACATAACAGTTTAACATGCTTGTGTTTATGTACAGATTTTCAGTATTTTGTTATGATTACTTTTATTAATGCAATGATCAATTTTCATTTCTTTTATATATAAATATGTATGCGCGTACGTGCGCCCGTGTGTAATGTAGGAAATCGTCACGCCACGGTATCAGACTAAATATACACAATCCGTTTACAATGTATCAAGGCGGCTTTAGTAAACATCGCGAAACGGTATTTATAGTGCATGGATTCAACGGTACGTCTATCGATCGTCATCTGCAGTATTTAAGGGACGGTTAGTGAACGATAAAAAACAGAAATTTGAAAGACTTATTAAATTCTTATTTAATACATTTAAGCTTACATATCAAGGGACTACAATGTAATTACCGTGGATTGGATGCCCTTAGCACGTTATCCCTGTTATTTGCATTCTTTAATTAATACGCGATTAACAGCGCAATGTACAGCTCAAGTAAGTATAAAACAAACAAGTAAGTAATGAAACCATAGCTAGTTCTTTGTACTCATACTACGCATACTACGCTCAAGAAAATAAAAAAATCTATGTAAACAGTAGTAACGTAGCCAATGCAAATGAAACAAATAAGAATATTATAGTGGGGTAAGGCCGACCTTAGATATCTTACACCACTTCGTCGAGTACAATTATTCGATAGTTTCGGTAATAGTACAACAAAAATTACACATCATTTTCAAGCAAAAGTGAGCCCGCCCACAACACATGACATGGTCCAGATTACTTACTAACTTAATAAACTTTTCAAAAATTCTATTATTTCTCAGTTTCCTTCAGAAGAAACTAGAAAACAGACTTCCCTTTCACGATAACCCCTCTATATGTTTGAAGTCTAAAAACTAGACTGGATGCGATCCAAATTCTCTACCATTACTCTTTTTCGTTAGATTGTTACTATGCACCAATTTTCATCATAAAAAGTAAAACCTTTTTCTAAAAGGCTTACAATTCATGAGAAATCTTATGATCGGATGGGGTCTAAGAAATTGATCCATGTGTTTCAAATTTAGTCCACTTAACTTTTATGTCAAATTACTGCTATGGACCAGTTTTCATCATAGAACATCAACACTTAGGCTTTTTCGCCTCTAAGGGTTTTTATTTCTTGAGAATCCTTATATATGGCAGCACCCAAAAAATGGACCTACTTGGCCCAACTTAGGTAAGGCTGCTTCCTTTGTCATTTTACTATTATGGGCCAATTTTCACCATGAAACATTGATTTAAAGATCCGTTTTTCGTAAACACGGTTGCAGGAGAGGGAGTTCAAGAAATAGGATTATTTTTGTTTTTTTCTCAAATCATGTTTAAAAATTAGTTAGTTCATATCATAAGTAAAAATTTTAAAAATAAACCGCTAATCTCTTTGATTTGTTTACTTAGTAAGATCTTCGCCTTTGCTTAACTCTATTAGACTGCAACAGAGTTTACCATATTTTGGGTTTGCTTACTAAACTAATCTCCTAGGCACTCTCGTACTTCCTTTACATACTGACAAAGAAAATCCGCAAAACAGTTTCTAAAATTTATTTTCTACTCAAATCGAGCAACGCGTTCAGGCATTCGATATTTTCTTCGCCGTTCATGTAGCTCGAACGCAGTTGAACTATTTTGTATGTACCTATGGATTTACCATGCCGCTTTTTAACACGTCACATGTCCCTTTTTCGCAATACATTCCCTTTACGTTTTCCGTTATCTAGGCAGCACTATGAATTATGTAGAACTATTCCAGTATTTTGGCCAGAGTCTCACTCATTATTGTTATTAATTGCGTGCGCAAACCGTACGGCGACGTTCAAGATCTATTGTACTCGCCCATGCCCCTAGCCATTTAGTTTTAGGATTTTTGCAAATACCGTCAACTTGCTTGGATCGAAGCACCACACAATGTCCGGCGTTGTAAATTGCTCGTCAAACACGTGATGTCTATGTCTGTAGATTACCTCACATTGCCATGGAATATGACGAGACGGCGCTCTCGTCGCTTGGCAGAATCTGCCTGAATCGATGTCGAACATCCCCTTGTATTTTCAGATGTTGTAACTCCGTGACTAAACATAAGTCGCTTATTCTTAATTCCAGTAGTTAATGTGTTATATCGGAAGATTTTATAAATCCTTTGGCGTGCCGTTGCCCTGCATGTCCCATTAATATGGCTCCTTGGTACGCCAAAAAGGTTCAGGATATAACATGGTGTCTCGGGCTTCCCTGTTGGCTAGGCAGTCAGCCCTTTCGTTGCCCTCAACACCCGAATGGCCTGGCACCTCTATTAGTTACACATCATTGCGCCAGCCTACCTCATTCAAAGTTTGAATGCACTCCAAAAAAAGCTTAGATGTTATCAGTGGCCCCTTTAGGCCTTTCAGAACAAAGATATATCTTACTAATGAACTCATTCAAGCAATTCACGTAAATCGAGAAAAATGTTGTTTTTAAATCCTTTCTATGATTTCTTGTGGAAAATTTTAGATTTATTCGTTTCTTACACATAATGGAGCATTTCGAGAGAAAATGACTTGTGTCGGTCACTCGTTGGGAGCCCACATTTGCGGCATGGTTAGCAATCATTTAACTATTAAACAATACCGTATAATTGGATTAGATCCGGCCCGACCATTAATTGAACGTAAAAAAAGTAATCATTTTCGTTTGTCACTAGACGATGCCAAGGTAATACAAGTGATACACACGAACGCCGGTTTTCTTGGACAAGAAGGCAATAGCGGTCATTTAAATTACTGTATTAATGGTGGACGCGCACAGCCCTACTGCCGAGGAAATCCTATAAGTAAGTACGAATTATTTCTCTTCTTTCTTTAACTTAAACGGACTTTACAATAATAGGACGATCACGCTGTTCCCACTTTCTGAGCATTTGTTATTTAGCATCGGCCGTATTTAAACATAAAAAATATCTGGGTGTTCCCTGTCCAGAAGGCTGTGTAGATATCTCCGGTCCGCAACGTCTGCCCCTTAGCAGGCGAAATCCTTTGGCTTTAATAGCTCAACTAAAAGAATTTTACATAGGCAATGATGCACCAGACGAGTAAGTATTACGAGAAACTATTGCTCTATATCTGTCTTGGAGGTGTTTAAATCGGATTTTCTTCTCTTTTCAGTGCTATGGGTTGTTACTGCATAGATGTACCATTTGCCAAACATTGTCCATTTAGTGAAGTAACGTAAAAATTTTTTATGATAGTTGTAGTTGCAATTTTTAATATAAATTATTATTTATTTTATTAGTTTAATTTAGTTTAAAACTTTTCCTCTGAGATCTGAAATTAAAAAAACTTTAAGACCGTTTTTCTATAAATTGTTTAAAACGCAGGAATTCTCTAATCGCATAATAAATACATATGTTTTAAAAGAAACCTCTCAAATGGTGTGATGATAATTCTTAACAACTCTCCTTCATAATCTCCGGTGGTTTTAGTTACGCACGAGTTTGTTTTTGAATTTTGATTATATAGACTAGAATCACATAAAGCCTCACAGAAGTATTATGTCGTCTTCAATAAAATGTCCTAATCAAAACGCTATTCGAGGCGAGACTACAACAGGAGCATGAACTGGTAAAGTGTTCAAGCAGGGCCAAGGAGTGGTTACAAATTTGCCTCATTTTCCTCATTAATCTCATCGATGAAATCAGTAGACGGGATAGCGGAGACTTTTAATAAGTCTTATAGGTGCAAACGCCCATGTCACAAAGTTTATAAGTTCATAGAAAGCAAATAGAATGAAAATATTTAAATTTAAATGAAGGAAGGAACTGCCTGTAAAAAGTGATTACAAATGATAAAAATAGATCGAAGGATCAATATAATCAACTTGCTAGAGATTCTTGGTTAAGAACAATTTTTTTATTGGACGGCTAAGTAGAGAAGAGAAGAGTGCGACGTGGGTGAATGATTCGAAAAACCACCTTAGAATCACCGATGAATATCTGAAAACCGATTTTAAAAACCCAATCATTTTCTTGCAGACTGCAGAGCCTTAACTTAGCATCAGTTTAGCTCTCGTGTCTGGGCACTTACCGAATTTTCCGAATTATTTCGATTTTCTTCAGTACTTTAGCTAAAAACAAAAAACCCTAAAAAATGTCCCATCATAGTCAACCGAACATTTATTTTTCACATAAATTACGGCATGTCTACAGCACAAGGTTCATTTATATTTTAACAATTTCACATCTTAACTTTAATTTTTTAAGTTTTGCTTTTAAACGTCTACTTATTTTTTCTCATAAGTGGATTTAAATGCTTCTCCATGAGATTGTTTTGTTTATACTAAGAAGATATTTTAAAGAAAAAATAATAACATAACAGCCCTGTGCTTCCAACAAAAGCAAAGCGAATCTTTTCATTGACACTATCCAACAACAAATATAATGTCAACAAAAAAACAAAACCAAAAATATCCTTTTTTTGTAAATTATATTAATAGCCGCAAAAACGCTTTTAATTGTAAAAGAACTTCTTAAGTAAAAATCGAAGGAATATTTGATACAGTGAATATTTGAAGCATGAAAAACACACTTCACGAGATGAATTTGTGCAACTGCACAAAGAATTTATAAAAATCATTAAAATAAAGTTATGGAGATTGGCCACCGCTTTTATGTATACGGATGCAGGGAATTGATTTCATAAACTACTTTACTTTACATAAATTTATTCTTTCTTATAAACCCTACGAGCAAAGGTAGAAGGTAAGTCGAGAATTTTATATTTAATTCAAACTTTTTTGTATCGAACTTTTTGATTACTTTAAAAATCTTGAAAAATAGTGGAAAAAATTTCATAGAGTACTGAAACATTCGTAAGAATGTGAAAGGAGAAGCGTAGCAAAGCATGTACATTATAAAAACTTTTATTTAATTGAAATTGAAATAATTGCCTTAGATTGATTCTGAGGAATGAGTAGTAATTGATTATAGTTTAGAATATAGTTTTAGGCGTTTAGGTTTAAACAATAAATTTTTTTCTTTATTCATAAATCTAACTTACAATCTAAACGTATAATTTGTCCACATTCGATATTTTTTGTGATTTTCTTCAAATGTTGCGGATGCGTTATTTTAATTTTTATACTCAGCACAGCAACCAGTCTACTCTAGATATATGATTCCGTGTCTTGCGCCCACACAGTTTCAGAATAACATATGTTCCCCCCATTCACTTCCTCAGGTCGAAAAAAAAACCATTAGTTAACTTGAGAGTCCAGACATTTATTGACCATTAACAGAGATTTGGCCTTGATTTTTTAATGTTCAACAAAGATTTACTTACGGTAAAGGGATTACTTGGTAGAAAGAGTAAAAAATTGATGGAAATATGTAAGAAGTAAGAAGTATTACAGTATTACGTTACAAAATATATATAGGTGTGTATGTACATTTTGGGCATGTTGAGATTTAAGGAACTAAGCCAAAGAGAAGTGTGGCTTATATGTCCACGATTATTCCGTGAGATCAATATGTTAGGTTGTAGTAGTTTTCTAACAAAGCAAGTTAGTTCACAAATAATTTTTTGCTTAAAGGAGATCAAAGACTGCTACTAAGGCTTTAGAATTCACAAACCACCACAATGTTTACACATTCTCTTGCGAGGTGCACATCCACAATTTGTCTCATGTAGGATAGGAATATCTTTGTTGAAATCCAATTATGATTTATACATTTTTTTATTCTTTTCACAGCCTACATAATGACCTTAGAAATGAACGCATTTATGAATAACGCAGTAAACGTTAGTAAAAATTTGAATTATTTGAACCTACCGTTAACCATAATTCCAATCACTGAAGATGCCTTAAACAAAAGAATATTGGAGCAAACAGCAGCTCAACAATGCAAACAACCAGATCTAACATTTCATTGTATGTGTTGCGAAGAATATTTTGTAAATCCTTTACTTATGTATGAGCATATGAACACACAGCATGCAGACCTGCCTGAACCAGAAGAACCCGAAGAAGTTGATTCAAATGATGATAAAGATTATAGTTGGGTATTAGAACCGGTTTGTGAATTAGTCGATTTAGACGAGAAAGAAAACGGGACACTAGCTGAAGAGGAACCTTCCGATAGTGACACAGATTCAGATGATGATAGTTCTTCGACGTCGTCTTCTTCATCAAGTTCCACTTCAAGCGATACAACGATACAAACAAATTCGAATAACAATACACGAGACAGCGCTATTATAGATGAAGTCGAAGAAAAACAAATTGTTCTTAATCACACCGGGACAGAAAACTCTAATACGAACAATACAAATAACTATAGTATTATACACGGGAACAGTATAGAATTAAAAACAGCCGATCCTCACGAGTCTACATCAATCATTTTAATAAATCCGCAGCAAAACTCCACAGTTGCACGAATGCCAGTACCGATGAAGAGAGGACGTGGTAGAAAAAGCGCTGCAGAAACAGCTGCTATGCAGTTGTCATCACTAAACAGTAAAGAACCAAAATGCTTTCAGTGCGCGCACTGTGAAGCTTCATTTCTAAGTGCAGGGGACTTATCCAAACATGTACGTTGCCATATTACCAATAAACCGTTCCAATGTTCCATTTGTGAGAAGACTTTTACACATATTGGTAGCTTGAACACACATATACGTATACACAGCGGTGAGAAACCGTATAAATGTGAATTGTGCTCCAAAGCGTTTACCCAATCGAGTAGTTTGATGGTTCATGTCAGGTCCCATGCTGTCAAAAAACCACATCAATGTCATTTATGTGATAAAGGTTTTGTGAATTCCAGTTCTTTAGTTATGCATTTGAAATCTCATGAGGAGGGTGAACGATTTTCCTGCCAAGAATGTGACAGAACTTTTAAGCACGAAGCCCAACTGGAGGAGCACGTAAGGACGCATACTCAAGTTTTGTTGTATCAATGCTCAATATGCCGCTCGGCCTTCGCTAACTCCTCTCAGCTAGTGCAGCACATGAAATGCCACATGGGCGAGAAGCCCTTTACTTGCTCTATCTGTGATCGTTCTTTTACTCAATCTGGCAGTTTGAACATCCATATGCGTATCCATACGGGGGAAAAACCGTTTCAGTGCAAGCTATGCGAAAAGTCCTTCACACAGGCTTCCAGTTTAAGTGTTCACATGAAGATACATTCAGGCGAAAAGCCTTTTCCCTGCCATATATGTGGGAAATCATATAGCCAAGCGGCTTATCTCAACAAGCACATACAAAATCATTTCGAAACTCAGAAACAGGAACTGCTGCGGGCCAGGGGAAAGGAAACTTTACTGTGTATAGTATGCGGTGCTTTGCATCCAGATGCCGACTCCTTAGCATTGCATGTCACCCAACAGCATGCGACTTTATTGAACAATTTGCCCGAAAGGCCAAAGCCTTTGGAAAATTCGAATGCCTTAGAAGATGAACGTTTCCAGCAGCAGCAGTATATGCAACAAGTGGAGCTCTTAATGCAGATGCAACAACAAATGATGGAAGAAGTTAGTAGAAATGGTAGAAGCTTTGAAATGCAAAGATCAAAGGAGGCCCAACACATGCAGCAATCATTGCCAACAACGTACGGCGAAGATGAAGAAATTGAAAATAATAATAATGAAGATGAAGAGGAAATGGATGAGGACGAAATAGATGATGAAAGAAACGAAGAGGAAGAAGAATTGGATGAAGATTTAGAAGAAATGCCTGAGGCTATTGACGAATTAAACGATGAAGAAGACTTAAATACCGAGGACGAGGAAATCACCGCACAAGTCGACCTTGAAAGCACGCTACAAATGGAGCAAACAGAGGAAAATCCTGAAGCTGCCGATACTGCTACGCTAAGCGAAATGCAAGATTACCCTTTCACCGAGGAGGCGGAATTCGATGATTACGATGACTATGCAGCTGAAGAAGAAGTCGAGACGGCCGTTTAGCATACGGATAGAATATTTTATTAATTTTAGTTTCCCCGAGACATTCTTTGCTCGTAGATTGCGTCAAAAATTGTTTCATATTTCATATTAGTATACATCATTTAATAAACTCACTGCACTTTTACAAATTTGTAACTATTTTCACATTGATTGTATATAACGTTCCGAATACTTCTAGTCTATCTCTACTATTAATTATAAAATGGGTTGTAAGTAATCCAATGAGCACGTTCTTGATCTTTAGCACTGCTATGAGTAGTGAAGAGAGATTTGTACACATCAGTAGCTTTAGGGTCCTTAGCTACGCTGTATTCAGTTTTTAAACGCTTCATTTCAGGGTCTTCTAAGACATCTGAACCCGAACCCAAACGTTTAAGATTAGCCACAACTTTTAACTTGGCAAGATTACCCATTTTTTTGGCAGTTGCTGTTAAATCTTTGCTAGTCGATGGTTCGTCCGTAGATTGTTCATCTTCTTTGTTGTCTGTTTTTTCACTAGGCTTTTCGATTACACTTTCTGTTTTAGGATAACTATCTTTCTTGCATTTTTTATTTGCCTTCCGCTTCGTATTGCGCATTTCCATTTTCAAATGCATCATTTCCAAATCTTCGTCCACGGGATTGAGTACAATTACATCCTCAACATTAAAAGGTTGTTGGCAAAGCGGACATAGACTGCCGACACCTTTTGAACAACCTTTAATTTCTTTTATAGCTCTTTCAGACACAACACAACCACAGCTCCATAATGCTATAAAACGGAACTTCCCTGACATTTCCAAGCCAATAAGTTTACAGATATACGGTGCATGCCGTACCTCCGTTTTATCAGCTTCTGTAAACGCTGGATTGGGCGTCAACTTTAATTGTTTAATATCCTTCATACTTTTAATGTGTTTAATGGTGTCGGGCATTTTGTCTTTTTCTAGTAATTGCTCTATAACATTTTGCTTTGAATATAAACGGCCCAAACCACACATAACAATGGGCTCTTGCAAACGCTGTTGCGTGAGAGCACAATGTAGCCATCGAAATTCACGTTCAGCATCTTTATCTTTCTATGAAAATAATGTATTGAATGCACATTTTTTAAGAAAATTACTATCATAAATCACTACCTGTTCTGGTTTCTTTTTAACACGTACTAGTTCATCCCGTCTTGGTATTGTGCCTCCATCACATCCCATGTCTATTAGAAAAAGCTCTTAGTATCAAATTGTAATTAATTATTGTTTTCGTCGAATTTATAGCCTTTTTTGTCAGAAATGTTCTTATTTCGTTTCTAAATCGTTTGACCAGACAATACAGCTGGCTTTTTCATGTTCTAGCAACTAAGTTTTGTTTGCATGATATAAAAAAAAAGAATAAAGGCCTTTCGTCTTAGCAAAGGGTTGAAGCTGTACATGTTTTAATTATCATATTGTTCGTCTCTTACAGATACGCATCGAAAATTGATATTTGTATTCAGTATTGTTTTTGTCAAAACAGCTTAGAAATATACACAATTGCACAAAGTATAAGCACTTAAAATTCATTGCAAAATTAACGAATTAATTTTGACTACGTTTCGTGCACTACATGAAATTTATTGTCAACATAATCGAACTGTTGTGCCTACTATTCATGATATAACTGAAAAATTCGTGTTCATTCGTAGCCTTTGCAATGTTAAAAACATAAGCTTATCGCTGAAACCATCGATGATGTGATCCAAAGTGTTGACAAAAATCGAAAAGATCAGATAGTTACTCTGAATGAAAAACGCTACAACATCATGATCACCTATTTTTTATAGCATGCAGTTGGCACTTGGACGACGTGGTTTCAAGCACACTCAACATCCCACACGCCTCGTTACACAATCAATTTAATGAGATCTTATTTGATCACTTTATTTAGTTGTTATTTTTATTTAATTTGGCGCGTGTGTCTTTTTTTGTTTATACGAGTGTGAAATTTCTATTTCCTTTTTTTATAAGTCATTTTACAGGCTTTTCGATATGTTTAATATTAAAATAATGTTCACCTTTTTTTTGTTCTGAAATTCTAGAGGTGTTTATAATCGATCCATGTCTAATTCGAATATATAACATATGTGCACAATTACAAAGCTGTTTTATATTTTTTCTTTATTACTGAATGAATTATTAAGTTTTCTTACACAAAAACAAATGTCACGAATAAAGCTTGGGGAGGGAAATAAATTTGTAAATAAATTTTAATTTTCAATAATTAAATAAATTATGCTAATTTAACAATTATTAACTTTCCTAAGCGATAAGCGTAGCAATTGTGAAAACAAAAAAAAAAAGAAATTAATTTCTTTTTCATTTTCTGGCAATTAGCTTTTGCTTTTATTATTAGTCCAGAATTATGGATTACATGCAATGATCTCTTTACAATTTTTGATTTTAAAAAGCAGAAATACTACGGTTTGATTTGTGAAAGTTAAAAGATTTTCAAAACGTAAACAATTTACTTGTTAAGTATATAATTTAACCGAGAATAGTTGGTAGCGTAAAATAATATAAAAATGACAACATATCTATCGTGGGAATATCCGGAAATGCCGGAGAACGTTAAGTATATTTGCTTTCAAGTTTCTTGACCCACGAACAGAAAAGAAAAATATTTAAAAAATTTTCTTTTTAGCAAATTATTGCTGCAAAATGATAAAAAATTGGTGATCATAGGAGTTATAGGTAAATCTGCATTTCCTGATTGCAATAAAATGGTAGCTCTTAATATATTAGACCGGCATCCCGCTTTACTAGACCACGAAGCAAAAGAGGTGAGTACATTTAGAGAAAAGAAAATCCTCTGCGATCCATCTCCCTAGTATCTACATATGTACGTCAAAGTAAAATTTATATATATTTTTATTTAGGGTCAAATTCAATTTTATTATAATCCTGCAGAGTCCATATTGTGGTTGCATTTTGAGACCACTTTGGATGCGTTTTGCATGCAAAAATTGCTTTTGGAAGAGCTGCAGAACGAAACCTTTGATCAATTTTTAACTTTTCACCAGCGTATGCGTAGTCGTTTTGCACGCATGTTCCTCTTTGCTACTCACGTGTGCCACCTGATAGTATTTGTTGAGCTTAGTGTTACTTTTGATGCTTCATTGTTAGGCATGTTTAAAGCCTTGAAGATTATCCGGTAAATCAGAAATTATCGTAAAAATTGCCTTTTTACTAAGCAACAGTGTCATTTAAGAGATCGTCACGTTCTACGTTTTTTGCCCAAATTTATTAAAAATTCCAGAACTGGATTTATGTTCGGTAAAACTGCTCGCTTATGTTCGCCAAGAGTTCTGTTCCTTTTTGAAAACTTGCCAAAAGGCTATGGTAAGTTGGTTATGGTTAGTTGGAGTTGTCTTCTTTTTTAAATTCGAATTATTTCTTTGGATTCTAATTGCAGAGAAGTCTTACGAATCAATTTCCAAAATGGAGTTCGAAGTGGAAGATAATATCTATAAAATGTTACGTAATGAGTATATAGTGGTCAATAATAATGCATCTTCGCTATTCTCTATACCGGTTAACCAGCGTTTCGTTTATTATAATTTAAATGACAAGCACCGAGAAGATCCCGTATTAAGTTCGGTAAATTTTTTGCATGAATTACTGAAGAAACCAAGCTTATTGCAAACTGACGAAGAAATAGAGGAGTTGCTGCCGTATAAGGTAAAGAGATGAAAATAATTTTAAATGCAACTATAAGAATTTTGAAATTTTGATTAGGATTTTGGTAGACCTTTTTCGGACCTCAGTGACAGTGACCAAAAACCGCCCGAAGAAGAACAGTTTTTTGCCCACAATCGTAAATTTATGGATCTACTAAAAGAACATATCGATCAGGCTTTAGATACTGGCTTCAATGACAATTTGTCCAAGTATAAGGGCAAAAGTCATTTTGTTGTGTTGTCCGCCAAACCTTGGTTTGAAGCTTTTAAGTTATTACATAAGATTTTCATAGAAAATCCCGATAATGAACAATTTGAGGCAAACGATGCAGATTATGTAAGTGCTATACATTTGACAAATAACCGTTGATGGTAAAAGTCCTTTAAATTTCAGAAAGCTTACTTAGAAAACTTTGATAAAATTGTAAATTACGACAGCGAGTAAGTGTCTGGATTTTCAATACCAATAAAACTTAATTAGTTAGTGTATTTTCAGATTTTTTAAGGCTTGCTGCGATATCGGATTACAAAAAGCCTTTTCTATGTATAATAATCCTACACTTACATACTATAGTGCCGTGATCCATAAGAAAATGGTAAGTATTTCTAAGGCGGAAGCCATTGACTAAGTTCAGCTTATTTTCGTAGACAGAAGAAGCCGTTACACTTTATCGAAAATATGCCAGGGGTCCAGATAAATCTGTTAATGAATTAACTTTAAGAGAAATGTGCGAAACGTGTTGGAAATCGGGTAAACAACAATGCGAATATCCTAGTTTGCGTGGCAGTCCTTGTGCTCTTCCTAAACATATTGTTAAAGAAGCAACTGAACATTCTAGTGGCGTTGTGTACATATCCGCTTGCAACTGTGGAAAGACGCAAGGACGTCGGGAGGACCCTTACAGCATACGTCATGCCAATTATGAGTTCTATGAATATATGGCCAATAATTGTACATTGTGCGCAAAAGTCAAGCACATACGTTTCGCAATATTTGAACCTTCCATTAACGATTATAGGCAAGTCATTCTCAGCTTCATAAAAAATCCCTGTATTAAGTAATATTTTATTTTGAATGTCGTAATTTTAGGGCTGCTGAATATGACCGCGCGTTTTGTAAAACCTCTCTTAGCCTGAATAAAGAAGATGAGATTTATTCAATGAATGCCCATTCCGATGAAGATAATTATGAAGATGAAAACATGTCGCAACGATTAATGGCTTCTCAAAATTCTCACACCAATCTTAGTCTTTCAGTTTCTTTAGATAATTTGAATAAAATTGATGAGCGTGACAATGTTATGAACAGTTCGGACGAGTCTGTAAATGAACTGATTTTAAAAGTAAAAGACAAAGAGGTTCAAGACGAAGATAAAGAACGTTCCGTATTACGACAGCCTTCCACCACTGAATACCTTCCGGGTATGGTTCACACTGAAAGCCCAGTGGGCTTATTGCCGCAATTTCCTAGTTGGTCTTTATGTTGCGTGGGCGCAAGCTCGGTTTATAGTCACAATACTGGTTTAATGGAACATTTCCAAAGTGGATTTTTGACAGGCTCCAATTTTCTTTTACCTTGGGATGTGCACGTTCGCTTGGAACATTCAGCATCTTGGGCGGCTGCTTACGAAAAAACCCGCTATCGCAAAATGGGTGAAGTATTCGTGCTGAAAATATTTGTCGGTTTTGAATATGAATGTCCACGAGGCCACCGATTTATGATGTCCGCACCTGATAAAGTGCTAAGAGGAGGATCAGGTTTGTTATGATATTTTATATATTATTATCAAAAAAAAAAAAAGGTAATTATTTGAAGGAATTCTACGTGACAGTGGAAGTAAGGTTGTTTACAATAATATGCCGTTGTATTTTCCCTGCCCATGTCGCACGAAGAAATTTGATGTAGCCCAACTAATGAGAATACATGTGGTTACACCGAAAGCTCCCGTGAACGTTATATTGGATCCTAAGGTGCGTAAATCTTCTATTAAAAATTGAATACATATGTTGACAAATCCTTTAAAATGTATATTGCTTATGCAACAGTAGAATTTATGTGCTCTGGTATGACCATTGTTCAACAAGACTTTTTGAGAAAATTCAAAGTGCTTGACAAGTTTCATCCAATTTTTGTTGAGCTTACAGCAATCGTAAGGTAACTCTCTCTATAGGCCTTCTCTCCAAATAATCGCAATAAATTGCTAACATCTTTAGAAGCATTAAATTATTGTCCGCAACGAAACTGCATCTTATTTGGGTACCAAGTCATTACTGTCTTTCGCTCAATGAAAAAAAGGTGATGGTCTAACAAAGGAAGCAGTCCAATGATAAACGCTGAATCATGAATATCGCAGATTTTCAACTCATGTGAAAATAAATTGCTAAATCGCCTTCTAACAGGACACACATATGACAAAGCCTAGCTTCATATGATTGGGTCTGCACCTAGTGATCTTCGTGGCACATGCAGCTTAAGCATCAGTACCAGAAATTATGTTAGCTTTTTCTCATTCTTTTCGGATTTAAAAAGTATCTTTTTAGCAAGCGATGAATAGTTACTCAAAGAGCTGACTTCCTTTATTAAACTAACGGGTATTGAACTTTGATATACCATTCAATATAAACATTATCTGTTTATCGTCAATTACTCTTTGGTCTTTATTACAGTCGCTAAAAAAAATTTTATTTACAGGAAAAATTTTTAGAAAATTTTACAACTTTCTTTGTCCACATGTAAGAGGTTTAAAAGTCATGAAAGGATAAATTTTGTAAAAGAGACCGTCTCCATTTGATTTTCCTATATCCCAATATTTGTATTTCTAATCTTGCATGATTTTGTTTCAAATTAGACGGAAGGTGTCTTTGGGGAGATATTTGGTTGAGAGAATTTCTTCATAAGATCAGCTTCACAGCTATACCTTGATATTGATTTTCTGGACTAAACCCCAGAATGGACATTACTGAATGGACCATTACAACTTGAACCACAACTAATCAAAATTCAATTATCAACAAATCATTATTAAACATCAGGTGCGTACAGGCGAGCAGGGCTACATTTTCATATTGGGCTTACCTGATCCCCCCAAGCTGAGCCAAAGCGCGTATTGGATGTTGAGATTACCATACATCTATCAAGGCGACGAAGAACCCATATCACCGCCTACTGATATAACAGCTTCGAATGCTTTAAGTTATGGTTGTCTTATGGCCGGCATGTTCGGCGTTAGCGAAATGGAAGTGGATGATTAATAAAACTATTTTATGTAAAAATTAAACAACTACGTTTATTTTTTATACACCAAATGAGAGAAACCTTACGTGAACTAAACTAAAAGTAAATTGTTCGAAAAATTAATTATAGGACCAGCTTATTTCAATGTAATATTTGGCAGATATCATAATATATTCTTACTGAAAATTTGTTTATTGAAGAACTTGTAAGAGAAGTTTAACTGTCCAAGCACACTACACATTTACACATTTTCCGGTATAGCCTCCTCACAGCGATTCTTATTTTTCAATAGATAAGCAGCTAAAAAATTGATAGGATCTGCTGGACGCTCCCGTGCCAGAGTTTGTAATGCATGCAGCAAAATAGGTGCCACAGTTTGATCCAAGTATTGGCGCGTTGGTAATGCATTTAAATCGCTGCGATTCTTTTTACATTGCGATGCGGCGGTAGGATTACTGGCGTTACTGTTCGCAGATGGTATTGGCTGAGTTGATTCAGCTGTAGGCAAGTTTCCTTGTGAATTTGTATCAACTTTTTCCATTACCCTGGTAACGGTAAAACATTTTTTTCAATTACCCCTTGAAAATTATTCACTCCTCACCTGTATGGTTGTTTTAATTATAGATTGTAAAAAAATATAATTTATGAAGTATTTCTGAAGAAATCGTTCAATATTTTATTAAAACACCGCTTTTGCTCTTTATTGCAACAATCCAAGGAAAAATTATAGATTAATTGAAAAATTTTACAGTGTTGCCAAAACAAACATGTCATACAATATTTCAAATACTGAAAAATATTTCATTGCTTTTGATATGTTGGAATTTAAATTGCCAATGATTCTTTCTAAAAACTGAAATCCATTGCTTTCGACTTATTGCAGAGTGTCATTCAATATCGAAAAGTAAGCCGAACTAACGGTATCCTTTAAAAATGTAAAGGAACACATGTAGTAATCGATCAGATTACGATAAAAACTCTTCAAATACTTAGAAAAATGATGCCGTAGGTTATCTCATATCAACAAGCATCCATTCCTATAGTTTAATTTTAATAACTGAACAAATAAAATAATAATTTTAACTGAGAAATAAAAATAAGAAAGTTACTACTTAGTGTAAGTCATCGTGCAGTGATACATTTTTCATCAGCTGTTATTCATCAATTTGTATCGATTCTGTATAAACTCTGCTAATTCGTCTACACCTCCCGATATTTGCAAATTTGTTTTTAAAGCGTTTAATAAAAAGAAATAAAAAATGACCGAACTTTTAATTGATCCTAATATAAGAGTTTGGGTGTTTTTACCTATTGTGTTGATCGCTTTTTTCATAGGCATTTTAAGGCATTATGTTTCGACTTTGATATCTTCCCAGAAAAAAGCCGAAATGCTGCAAGTCCAAGACAGGTAAAAAAACCAAATATAAGTGTATTACGCCAACAATGAACTATATATGTATTTTAGTCAAGTTATGATACGATCCCGATTATTACGTGAGAATGGTTGGTATTTGACGGCTCACTCGTTTGCAATGCGCAAAAATTTCTTCAATAATGAGGAAAATGGCTATTTTAAGACTCAGAGAAGACCGCCAGTATCACAAAATTCCACGGCAGTTCTAACGGACATGGTTAAAGGCAATTTCATTAATGTTTTACCTATGGTTATAATAGGCGGTTGGATAAATTGGATGTTTAGTGGTTTTGTAACCACAAAAGTGCCTTTTCCATTGACGTTACGCTTTAAACCTATGTTACAACGGGGTGTTGAATTAGCGGCTTTAGATGCTGCTTGGGTTTCTTCAGCTTCTTGGTATTTTCTGAATGTGTTTGGCTTACGGTCCATATACACCGTAGTTTTGGGTGAAAATAATCAGGCTGACCAAACGCAGGCCCAAGCGGATGCAATGACAATGTCTGCAATGTCAATGTCTCAAGACCCCAAAGCTTCTTTCAAAGCCGAGTGGGAGGCGCTAGAAATAACGGAATACCGCAACGCTTTGCACAACGTTGAAAATGATTTACTGCATTTGGCGAACGAGAACTACAATTTAGTTGCTGAAGATAATTAGAAAATTTATTTAATATGTCAGTCAAGATTTAAAACGCAAAGAAGTTAACCGTTTATTTGTTGCAATAAAATTTGGAAAGTTTTTTTACAAATTATAAACATTTAATAGCAAAAAATACAAGATGGATAATGGGGAAAAAAAGCTTTTACTCGATTTTCTCCTCTTGCGGTGGTTGTGGTGGTGGTTGTAGTTGTGCTTCCTCAATTAGTTCCTCCTTTTTAACTTCAGGTGCTGGAGTTGTTGTTTTTGCGCTTCTGGCAGTAGCCCCGCGAATAGTTTGCGGTGATGGAGGTCGGGCAGCCGGAACGCGCCAACTTATTGGCTTCTTAGTCTTCGGTTGGCCAATTAAACGGTACTCATTTGGCAATTCGCTCTCTTGATATAGACGATCTGTGAAATAGATGCGTCGTATACGCACGTTGGCGTGAATTTGTAAGCGTACAGTTTCCATGTAGTTAGTACCATAAGCACGTCTTGTGAAATCAGCCAAATTGAAATGTATTTGATTCCAGCCGGGGGACATGCCCATGGGCATAGAGGTGCAAAATGGCTTAACTGAAGTTTTACTTTGGAAATTTGATACACGAAAACGGCGCATAAAACGCTGATCATCAACAATCTATAGAGAAAAAGAGAATTTTCATATTTCTTAACCTTTAAACGGAACAAGATGGGAAGTCGCTCTCACTTTAACTTCGAACGTAAAATATTTATGCATATTTTTAATTAATAACACGAGAAAAGGCAATTTTATACCCAGTTGCTGATTATTGCCTCTGGGTGTTGAAATGTACATGGTTGATACGTTTGTTCCCATTATTTCCAAAACCAAGGACTTAATATCTTCATCATATACACGTTTGACGTAACCGTTTTTTGTCTATAGAAAAATGCTTCTTATATAATTATGCAAACTTTTTTGGGTAATTCTTACATGTGTTGTCCATAGCTTCAAAGGATTACCGCCCACACTGTATAGGATAGAGAAACAACCCTTCTGATAGACCGTGCGGAACATGTGGAGTAATCTTATTAGTGAGGATATTAGGAGAACTATTGCTTATAAAATATGATTTTCTTTTCATATAAAAATATATTATAAAAATTGTGTCAAAATGACAAAATATAACCAAGTTATACTCTTTTTTCCCACTTGCTTTTCGAAAAAAAAAAATTTATTATCAAAAGGTTGATGTTTGAAAATATAAAAAAAGTAATTTAATTGTAAACATTATATTTGCGCTGAATAACCCCAAGGATCCAATTTTTTGTTGAGCAATTCCAAGGATGAATTCGCTAATTTTGAGAGTAAATCTGCCAATTTATGTTTCGTGTAGACTTTATAAAGTTGGCGTGTCTCTGAAGCTATGTCATCGGCTAATTTTATGCAGCCTTGAAAATCCTTTGAAACATGCAAAACCTTGTACAACAATAAGACAATTTCTGGTATATAAATGCTTCGTAACTTCTCTAGCTGCGTGAGACGTGTCTCCCAAATCACAGTATTACTGTCAAAAGTTTTCGGTACATCGGGATCAATAAGCCAACCCATTTCCGGAAATACCAGCACGTTATATAAAGAATCACGACAAACTGTAATGACAAAAAGAAGTTAAATTTACATCGATTAGAAAGAATACTGTTTCGTTTCAACCTTTAACGTGTTCCTGCAAAGTGATGCGCCAATGATTAAGTTCGGCTCTATAGACTTGCTCTCTATGCTCGAAAGCAACCCGCTCCGTGAAATTAGCTCCCGCCATCGCCGGTTCGGGTTCTTTAGGACGATTGTGATATAAGCGGGTCCACTCATTGAAGCTGTCAATAGCTGCGATATAGACTTTATAGCTTAGGTACTCTTTAATGCTACAATCTTCACGATATGGTATGTCATCCTTGGTGCTATATAATTTTATGATTTGTGCTAAGGAATCTGACGGTATCATATTGGAAATTGCTCGCACACATTCGTTCTTATTTTCAGCCAAGTAAGTACGAATCATGGCATTAGCCTGCCACAGCAATTCACCTCGCTGAGCTGGTAGGAATGTAAGCCATTCTAGACTCTTAATTTTTCTTTGATCGAATTCGCTTATTTCACCAGCCTGCAGGGAACCCGTCATCTCGCTGTCTGTTGGTATTGTATAACGTATCGTTTCGACTGTATGTCGAGTAATTTCTTCCACATTTAAACCAACATTAATGGCTTCTTCTAAAGCTATTGAACGTGCTTCTTTTTTATGAACCTTCTCAAGAAATTTCGAGTAAAGCGAAATGCGTGTTTTGCTTGGTAACGTCGCTGTATAGAAAGCTACCAACTGAGCATCACCCATAGTTATTAAGCATTCCACATAAGCTGCGATAATATGATATGCTGCGTCCTCTTTATCTACACGTCCGATTTGTCTCATAAATAATACTATATGTGTAAGGAATCGTAGCATATGTGGTGTCATGGGAGTACATTCAGTTTCGCACTCAGCATCTTCGTTGTCGATCCAACGCCGCATTTGTTGCAACAATTCCGAAATATTGTCGAGTATGAAATACTTCTGTGTGATACCTATTTTACTCTGAGCATAATCTCGTACGTCGGCGTCGTTGTGAACCAACAATTCATCGAAAATCTGTTCCAATGACATTTTTGAGTTCCAGTATTCTTCAGGCAAGGGATGATAGGGTTTCAAACAACAAGCTCTTATTTCACTTTCAACACGAATGTCCACTTGCACTTTAAGGTATGCCCACAGAAGATCTTCCCAAGAGTTGCCCAATAACGACTTCAATGAATCCAAATGACCCGAAAATGCGCCTGCTATTGCTCTCGTATATTCATCGAACTTTTTACTATCGGCCATAAGCCAAGCACATTTTTTCCAAATATCTCGCCGCGGATTACCTTCAATTGACAATTTTTCGCTTTTATTGGCACCGATAGTATCATCATAGTTAGGATCTTCATGCAAACGCCAACCCTCGAAAATAGCTGCACGCCAACTCTGCCCATAATATTTGCACATGACCGTGGCTTCGTCGATACGACCTTGACGTACTTCTTGGAATATGCAACGTGATAAGCGCATGCTGTCCTCCTCATCCAAAGCATGTAAGGGTCTTTTTTCTCTGATAGGAGCATCAGGGTCTATAGACTTTACTATTTCTGCCCCTGTGCCAAAAGCTAGTTGCTTCTTTTTTTTTAGTTGGAACAATGTATTCTCCCAAGATACGCTACGATCGGTAGTGTGGCCTATTAAGGGCCCGTAATCACGACACTCGTAGCAGGCTTCTAACCAATCTATGATCAATTGATATTCCCTGAGGGTGGAATTGCAATTATATAATTGGGAAATTACTTCCTTTTCGGAACCACCCAAGGTTGCCCCATCAAAACCCATAGCTTCATCTCCACATTGCACTAAAGTTCTATCTTTATACAAGGCATACAGCAGTTTCCAAGTTTTCAATTCTTGCTCTAACCATTTCCAGTTATTTGAGCGGCCTTTCTCCTCTCCATAACGCGACAATTCCTGTTTTGCTGTCTCCAACACACCAGCGCAAGCGAATATTAAATCTTGTATGGTGTCGAACACATCCGAACCATTCGCTCTAATTTTCCATACTTCTAAAAATTGTGAAAATAAGATATCAGCTTTCTCCTTTGGATACTCCGTGCTCTCTAGTGCTCCTGATCTTTCACAAATAGTGGTCGAATCTATTAACATATTCGCTTTAAACGAGTTGCTCAGAAAACTGCTTGCATTTGTATAATGTGATTGATGCAGAATTCTTTGCAATTCACTGGGTGCTAAATTCATGGATAAATTGTAAGCATTATCGCCGCCGCCGCCTTCGTCAACGTTGATGCTATCGCCGGTTTGAGGTTTGATTTTTGTTAAGTTGCTTGACATATCGAAATTGACCAATGTTCGTAAATTAGATGAAAGATATTGCAGAAGTAAGGTGGATTTTGAAAATTAAGCTTTATTATAGAAATTTATTATCAGTTTTTCTCACAAATCTTTGCTTTTGTTAAATTTTAAGTTAAAATTTATAAATATTATGTCTTCACACAAATCTGTTAAAAACGCGCAAATCGTAGTAGCAAAATTGTAGAACAGCTGTTTGGTTTTACGATATATAAAAAGCAGCTGAGCATAATAATGACCCCCACACAATGGTTGGCAATCCCCAAAATTATTATCCAGTTGCATGATTCGCTCGCAGAACTGTTCAGTCAACAAAATTAAAAACACGAAAGTTGTATATAAATAAATCTGTGTATGTTTCATATGCGATTTAATGATATTTACTAATGTACCACTGTATAAACATCAGCATTAATTTTTATGTATAGTAGAAATATAATATAATTTAGAGAGTTTAAGAACGCATAGGCGTCATCTCAAGCTTATACAAATCATGAAAAACATGGACCTCTTTATTATTATCGAAAAAAGAGCGAAGAAATTCGGCTCCGGGGAAAAAGGTTTGGATCAAAGAATGAGGTCCGTATATTAAGGGTCTTGATAAATTAAACTATAAAGAAGGCATATATCACTCCTGAAAGAGATCAAATTAATAAATAAAGTCGAATTTTGCGAAAGAAAACAGTCTTTTTGTTTTTTGGCCCCGAAAAGTATTATATAAAAGATACGGCCGTGGGCCGGTTTCAACCCCTTCTGCTGCAGTTAAGTATATATATGACAAGCATTAATCTTCCACGTAAAATTTTACAACCATGACCGTTCCAAAAAAAAAAAAGAATGCTATTGGATAGAGATAACAATTGTTTAAATCATGGAGTGATGATGATTGTATACATTTATATAATTGTAGAAGTCAAATCTCTTCTCAAGGAGAATTACAAAGATTCCTGACAAGCACAATCGCTTTTTATACCCATCATTTCGCCAAATTTTAAAGCAATGGCTGAAATATTGACTATACATAAATGTTTGGCTCGTTTTTCCGCAGCTGCTCAAGAGTATATATATATATATATATATATATATACCATAGAAAGATTTCGGTTTCGTAAGAAAGGCTATATGAGAAGACACTCAAAAAATTTCCTCAGCCGGTCCGAGTCTTCGCAACAAATTAGAATGCTGAAATGCTATTACTTAGCCGCTTTTGTCGAGAAAACTTAAAAAATTGTCATTTATTTCTTATAGCGACTTTTCAAAATAGGGCGTTACATGGGGACTGGTAGAAAAATTGGATCGATTCCAATCATTTTTGATAATTTTCATTCTTGCGTCAAAGCACGTCAGTGTACTAAATTTCATTGAAAAATCTCTAAAATTGCGACCTATAAGTGGAACACAAATTTTCACGGGCAGACATTAGACGAACAAACAGACGGACCAACAAGCTTAGATTCTGATTCTGAATCGATAGGGATAATAAAAGGTAGGTCTATCTTAAGTCCTGCGGCGTGTTACATACGTTCGGATAAACACAATAAACCTCTACCAGAAGTGGTGTAGGCTGTAGAACAGAAATTTCAATTTTTGGCCGTAGGTAAGTGCTAAGTTAGTTATCTTTATCTAAAAACGTTTAAAATACATCAACTATTTAAGGTAGAGATTTCATGGGGTTAGGAAGATTTTAATAGCTTTCCTAAATCAAGGAAAAGCAATAGTGTTTAAATTTTAAGAATCAATGAATGAATCATTGTCTTTAAAGGGAGCCTGATTAGTTGCTATTTGAACTCAGATTTATCTCAGAAATCGTTGTTTATCCTTCGATTTAGAAAAAGAAGAAGAAAAGTAGCGGAATTGTTTATTTGCAAAGCTTCATTTCTTTATTGTAAAATAATATGTTATGACAAATTGCTTATTAAATTTATTGATCTTTTGGTTTTTTATTTATTCGATTATCCTGCATATTACTTTATATACGTATGAATGATTGATTTGTTTACGAAATTTATTACTCATTACTTATTTTCATTTATTGAATGTTGTTGTTGTTGTTGTTGTTTTTTTTTTTTTTTTGCTTTATTCTTATTATTATTTCTTTGTGTGCATATAAAAAACACTTACGAACCACAAAGCCTTTGCATTATTTTTTTTTTTTTTTGCTTTTTAATGAACAAAAGAAAAATAGTGATATTTGAATGTAAGCAATGGTATGCCTATGCGATATAATTAATAATGTGTATGGATGCTTGTGTGTATATGAGCACCTATATCAAAAATGCTTTAAACTAATTTAACTAATTACTAGCATAAATTTTTGGTAGTACTTATTAAACAGAAATCTTTTGGATTTTCTAGAGTTTTAAGTGCAAATTATTATTTTTATCTTACGTTGTTTTATTATTATTATTTTTTTTTTTGTGTAACTTTAATTGTATTTTCATTGAGCTCAAGTTTTTTTTTTTTTGTTTTTTTTTCAATGTTTATAATATTTGAGTAAAGATTTAACTGCGTTGTTTAAGTAAATATAGTAATAATATATATGCGTGTAGAGATAATGTTGTGTTTAATGAAATTTATTGAGTGCTTGCTTTAAAAGAATTATTCGATATTTAAGTAATTTTGCAAAGATAAGTCTTATTAAACGAAAGTCAATTTAAAGTACTTGTGAAGATCATCTCAGTTAAAAACTGCGCTTTAAACTTTATTCAAGGGAACCTGGTGCTTTAGATAATATTTGATAAATGAATTGCTCTCCATTCTTGTTTATAGCCATCATCGAAGAATCCAAGAGGGTGGATTTCGCCAAAACGTTAGCAACGCCCAGAAGGAAGCTTCACAAATCTCATAAATTATATATATTGTTAATCAGGATCAAGTTGCGAATTGATTTAAGCATGTCTGTCTACCTATCTGTCGGCGTAATGTTTGCGGTAAACAGTCTAGTGGTCGCAAAAATAAAGCTATGACCTTCAATTTTGGCAAAAACACTAGAAGGGTATATGTTGAAAATGGACCAAGCCGAAGTGAAGTGAAAACATGTCTTTTTTTCAAAAGGAAAAAAAATTTTTGTGGTTTTTTGTTCATTAGTCATCAACAGATAAACCTATATAAATATAGGAATATATAGTCTATGGGTGATGCTATAATCCACGGTTGCCCAATATTGTAGAGTATCAAAATATATATTTTTTTCAATACCTTTATAAAGCGCCGAAACAAACTTCATAACCGTTATAAAGTATGCAAGTTCTTGGATACTTTCAAATTGACAATATGCCTAAGCATGGTTGACTTTTCATCTGCCCATTTCTTTGTCTCTTAGCCCGGCCATCTGTTCCATCTGCCTAAGTGTGTAGTATCTTTGGCAGATATTCTCCCGTCCCCGCAATAATAAAGATGTCGACTACATATTTGCAAAAGAGGTTGAAAATGACACAAACCAGTCAAAGAACACGCCTATAAAGTCCGAAAGCCTTTTATACAACCAAAACTGAGAACACCTTCCGTGCCTTTTGCCTTTTCCTCGTTACTTATAAATTGCAGCATATACACGATACATATTTCCACAAAATTATTCTACAAAAATGGGAGAAATCAGCCACGCCTATTCCAATGTATTCCAAAAAAAAAAAAAAGAAGAAAATGAAATTGTCTTCACAAATAAACAGATGGAGAGAGATTAACTTCTTTCGCATGAAATACGTATATGACTTGATTAGAAGGTATTTTGTATAATTTATGGCATTGAAAAAATATGTGATCACATATTCCCCGGGCACTGTTACATTAAACTTTTGACTCTTTTTAAACGTGGCTCTGTGTATTTTATAATAATAAAAGTGGCATAGTTTTGAATGAATAATATTTTATTCGTCAATGCCATATAATCGTTTCGTTTTTTTTTTTTTTTATTATTTCCTTAATTTTGCAAAATTACTTTTATATCTATCTCTTTTTGATTTGAAGAAGAAGCTTAAGAGTTTGAATTTTTATATATATTTAGTTAAAACAAAAAACTTACTTAAAATAGAAATTAAAGTAAATTTTCTGAATTTTTACGTACATATATATACAATTACATATATATTTTTTATATTATTTTTTTTTTGTTTTTTTGTTTTCTGTTTTTATGACGGTATTGTACAAACATTCAAATTACATATTTATTTGAAATGAAACGATACAAAAAAAAAAAAAAAAATACAAATACAAATAAACAGAATCGATATCAATTAATTGAAGTTATTTTAATTAACTTTATTGTGATTTATTGCAACATGCGGCTTTCTTTTTTTTTTCCTTTTTCTTTAATAAATTAAAATTTAAAAGAAAAATTTTTTCGTTTTTACGAAAATACAAAAACAAGGTGGATTTTGAAACTTTAATTTTTCAATTTGTTGCTTCAACCAAAATTTTGGCAGTGAACCTGAGCTTCTCATTAAATGAACTTAAATGGAATAAAATAAACTGTATATTCGCCCAGGAGCGAATCTTGGATGCTCACCATCTTAAGCAGTTTTCTTTGAACGATAATTTATTCGAGGAAAGCACTACACACATACACACACACACACATACACTTAGGAGTGAGAAGGTCTACGGACCTACAACTAGGCTCGACTAGGCGACGCACTTATTACATCGTATTCACATTTGTGGACAGGTAAAATGCATCAGCATCAGCCCTTGTGGACGATATAACTTGGAGTATAACCGTAAATTATAATTATTTTGTATGATTTTCATGACTATGGCATTTTGATCGGATATAGAGGGACAGACGGACTCCAAATTTCTTACACGTTAAGTAAGTGTGTGTGTGTGGCATATATTTCTAGCTATGAGAAACGGAATGAAAAATTTTATATACTCGCTGCGATGGTACGGGATGTAAAGATTGATTATTTTTTTTTTAAATTCCTTTGAAAAATAATATGTAATAATTATCTAATGATAAAATTTAACTAAATGTTTGTTTTTAACAAAATATTTTGAGATAAAGCTGTTTTCTTAATGGGGAAGAGATTAATATTTTTCTTTTCATTCTTTTTTCCTGCCTTACATTACTCTTCATTCATTCATTCATTTATTTAGTGCAACTTATATAGAGTTATAATGTATAAAAAATTCTATTTAAATATTATCTTTTGTTTTACTATCTTGCAAACTGTATTTATCATAAAAAAATAAACCTAAATATATGTATATTTCTTTCACTTTCTTTCTCTCCATCTCTATGCAGTGCTAAACTTAAATGTAAAATATTTTTTTCTTTCTTCGCAGTACATTAGAAATTAAATTAAGCTTTTTCTGTTTTTGCGTAATATTAGAGTTAATAAATAATTTAACAAAAAAAAAAAAAAAAAAAAAAAATTTATAAAAAAAAAACTGAATAAAGTTGCATCCTAGAAAGACAGTTTACAGTGTTTTAGCACGATCTAAAAGATCACTGATGAATTTCTGCAAGGAAAACATAAGCAATAGCGATTAAAGATAATTTTAGGAAAAAATTTTCATCGATCAAGATACTCACCGATATGTCAGATTGCGGGCGCTTACAAACGGATAATAATCTCTGAAAATGAATTTTTTAAAAGTTGAAAACTTATTTATGCAAATTATTATTTTAATATGCTTAAGAATTTAATTTTCCTAAGTAAAAGAATAATTTGTTAATTTTGCACTCAATAATTCAATGAAATAAATATTTGCCTTCAAAACATTTCATTTTTAGATCAGTGCTACCGCATATGTGTAATTATGTGACTAGAATTTGTCCATAGATGGCTATCCTATCAAATGAAGAGGACACATGTAGCTGAAGTTGTGTTCTTTTATAACATGAACATCTGGCATTAAAAACCAGACATAATACCAACATGTATGACGTCACAAAAATACTTTTTTTAATAGTTTTTTTTTTTTCCTAATAATAGAAACGAAAGACTTTTTGCTATCTATGCTAATTGTCGATGAAAAGTCGATCTATTTTAAGAGTCCCAGAAGTAAAAATTCATGGGCAGTTCCAGTCGCACCTTTAATATAGACGGCGAGACCGAATCGCTCAGGCAGAAAATCTTATATTCTGTTTTTGATGGGACAAGAAGATTGTCATCTGATATTAGCTTTTAAAGTGTGATGACAAAGTTAACGGTAAACGCTATCAAGAAAAGTGAATCAATTTGACCGGTTCGCCCTGCAACAAAGGAACGAAAAATTGAACAAGCAAGAAAATTATATATGGTTGTATCCGAATCTTTTATACCCATCACCGTAATCCAAAAAAAAAACAAGACAAGTAATAGAACTAAATTTTCAAGCTCTATAATATGGGGTGGATGCGGCTCGAAATAAATATTTTTGTCGTTTAGATGTTCAGACTTGGAAACGTGCCTTTCGAAAAGTTGAGGTAATTTTCTAATTATTTTGAAAATTTTTAAAGTTAACGGGAGAATATTTACCATGAATATTACACGGTTGCGTAGACAGACAGAAGCACTGGCGGACACGTTTAGGAAACTGGTCAGCAATTTATATACTTTATGGGCTTTTTCACCAATAGCTTCATTTTTGCGGCCAAGAGAATGTTTGCAACAGACATATATTGCAAACATTTTGACAAAATGAATATACCTCTCATCCTACGGTGACGCACATAAAAACGCAATATATTTTCTAAATGAAATTAGTCCATCCGTCCGTACACCAAAGGTGAAAAGCGGTAGCCCATGCGGTTTACTCATTAAACTTGAGTCCTTCGCATTACAAGTTGCTTGTGTCGATGTTGTTTTGAAAATTACGGTTCGATATGTGCTTATCTGGTGCATAAACATTACAAAGATAAACAAGAGATCTAACTTAAAAAACAGAGCATTGTTGTACGCATATCACTTGCACTCAAGAGAGCTAATACCGTGAACACTGTAATCTGCGTTTTGCAGGCACATTTAAGTTTATGTAAATATCTATAAGAAGGCATCAGAGATTATGATTGAGAATAGTTCCACTATGAAACCATAAGAGCCCTATTTGTCAATTTACCGGCAGAATGCAATAAGGATAAGCTGATCGATGCCATCATTAGTGTATATGAGGAGCACGACATAATCTCGTCTAGTTGCTACTAGATCGCCATTGTATGTGATCTGGTTTTTTCAGTAGTGGTGGTATTGCTTTTTTGACTATCCAGAACGAAGAAATTATGAAGTTAATAGTTTAACCGTCCATTTAGCAGCATAAGCTTTCTCAAAAACTAACGAGATCGTCCTGTTTAATCACCCTCTCTCAAGTGCTTTAAATCTAACCGTTTTTTCTCCAGCAAAGCTTTTCGATAATAAATTTTTACGTTCCTAGGGGTGCATTGGATGCTTGCCCACTGGCTTCCCTGATTTTTGATTTTGCACGCCTTACGATTTTCTCGCCTACCGCGAGAAACGTCTTTACTATGGCAGTGTATTGAAAGTAAAAACTTAAACATTCACTTGTCTGCTAGCTTTACTCTGGGCGTGAATATATGAAATAACATTGTGAAATTTATTTGAAATTTTGAGGAAAGTATGCTCCTCTTTGTGGCACCAACGCTTAGTATAAAAATTCCAACGAATTTTGCTCACTTACTAATTTTAATGCTCTATCTTCAAATGAGAGCGAGAGAGAGAGAGAGAGAGCCTTAAGCTCTTAAGCCTTATATAGATTGATTTTCTGATGTGCCCTGGAACGACTCCTTTAACACTAAAGTGCAAAATGCAAAAAGTGCTAAAGGTAGTGTGAATTAAACATGCGTGGCTAATATTAAATTTGCTAATTAATTAATAATTGGGAACGCAATGAGAGCTTGTTTTGCGGTAATTGTGGGTTAGCTGCCAATCAAGGTTTTTTTTTACAAAATTTGTAGAAAAGTTTTGTAAACGTCCCTGACCCCAACAGTTTGATAACTATTTACTTACAAGTTATTGTTATGTTTTACAATTTACTGACAAGCCTCATTGCACTGCAATTATTTCTCATAGCATTTTCACTGTTAACGCTAATGGAGTTGGCCAGAGTTTTTTTTTTTAACTGATCGATAGGGCGAGTAATTTTTGCGTCTTATAAACAAATTTATTAACCTAAGTGTATGTTAAATAGTCAATAGCTTGCCAAGCTACCGTCAATTATGAGATCGAGAAGTAACTGCCTCTGAAATAAGGCTTAAGGGAAGTTTGGGTTACACGGCCTCCTCCAATAAGAGTTCCATTTGTAGTACTACACCGCCTAACGTTGATAAGTATATTTATACTCATCATAGAGAAATGTATTCATCTTGTCAAAGTATTTGCGACGCCCAGAAGGAAGCTTCAGAAACCCCACCAATATATATACTGATCACTATCAAGTCACTATCGAATTGAATCGATTTAATCATGTCCGTCTGCCGCAAAAATGCAGCAATCGATTTCAAATTTGGCAGAAGGACTGTTATTTCTTGCACACAGGTTGGTACTAAAATTGTGCCAAATTGCTCAAAGGACACGACCATAGCACAACATAACCTGAGATCATCTCTGTTTTCCAAAATAAACCAAATTTTCGGTTTGTTTTGTTGCTTATAAATCCCAATATATACAATGAGAAAAATTTGCCCTTGTATCCTATGGATAGTTCTACAGCACCGGACCGCGTTTTACATAAACTTATAAACGATCAAACTTTTATTCTTTCAGTTGCTTTCTACTTATTACTCATAACGCAAACAAGACGGAATGTTGAAAATTATTTTATACATTCGTCACATGAAGATATATTATCTGTCTAGAAATGTAATTGTAAAATAAATATGCTGGCTTCGCTTTTTCTTAGCAATGAAAAGGTATGGGAAGAAGAATGCGATGAGCTAAGTATTTTAATTTCAAATTAAATATTGTGGACGTGACGACATGGTGGATTAATTTTTTCTTCACAATCCCGTCGATGTGGGTATCAAATATAAGGAGGCTTGCAAAGCAGCTATATATGTAGTATGGAAATTTTCGTTTTTTTTTTTTTTTTTTTGAGTGATTTTTAGTATAACGGTGTTGGTTAAATATAATTTTCTTGCTTGTATTGCATCGCTTTGAGTTTCTTTTTCGAGTGTTAGCATAAATCGCACGTTATTAATTTCACTTTTTCAATAAAGTCGTAAATCATGTCTGTCCGTACCCGGCTTTTACATAAACCTTTGTTGAGGGAAAGTTTCCAAAGTTTATTAACAATTCCTACTATATTTCTCATTTTCTAAAAACAATGCTGGTTTTCTTATAGAAAAATCAACAAAAGCCCGAGATCTTGATAGAACATAACTATCGCGTATCTTTTAAAATATTCTTAACGCTTTCATTTCCGAAATTCTCTTAGAGGTAGAAAAGTTGATGGCAAATTTTTTACTCTCTCTTTGCATTGATATTACAAATCGAGAAACCAAGTTAAATGTAAATAACATAAGCAAAATAACAGATCATACTCTAGATCTTAATATCATAATAATTTATTGCTCCACCAAGTTTCAGTATCGCATAATTGAAACTTTTTAAAAACGCAATTCCCAGCAGTCCTTTGCTCTATGCAAAGTTGGCAAAGCAAAATTTTTAAATATTATTAGCATTCGTGTCTCTATGTGCGCGGGAGTAGAAGTGTACAATTTTGATTTGATTTTCTGAACTTACAATTAAATGAGATCTTCGTATGTCATCTGTGTCCATATCTAGAATTTCATCGATATCAACATCAATGGCTTCATTCTATGTAAAAAAAAAATAAATATAAAAAAAAATAAAAGTAAATCAGAAGAGAAGCAAAAGCAAATAATCAGCGCATAATAAGTACTTTATATGCATCACTTAGCCAATATAAACTTCGTAATGCATATGCATAATGTAATGAGAGATTTACTGCATTTATACATACCGGCGGATCAAAGAGTTTTTGCAATTCATCATACAGCCACATTTCGACGGCTAAGCGTTTTCTGATTAAACTCATCTGATGTGAACCATATTTTGCTGTGAGGAACTTTTCGCGACGCTCTTTAACTTCGGAGCCCTTTTCATTAAAATTGACGCGTAAATTTGTTCGATTCGGTGAACGTTCACAATCATTCATTTGTTCTAGACCGCACTGCATTTTTTGGTTTTAGCCGCGGCTGCCTTGAAAATGTATACGCTTTGAAAAAACTTTTGCAAAACTTTACACTTTAGATAAGTGAATGAATGTTTAACGAAGTGCTCGTAATGAAGTAATGTGCACAAGAACCGTGAAGGGTTAACTATGTCAATCAGTGATGAATAAAGTTGTCTGTTTTCGTCACTTTAAACAGTTGTGTCAATCAAATTTATAGCCAGTGGGTGTGTTGCGTGCCGCCTCTCGCTTACAGACGTTGATTAACCGTTAAACGATTTTCAATGATGACGATTAAAAGCAGCTGAAATTTAAAATACAATTTTCTTATTAGTCTCAATACTTGTGTTCGCCTTGTCAATTAACTAATTGATACATTATTGATTAAATGATTCCTAATTAAAATCGTACTATGTATGCATTACTTAATGCTGGATAAAATATATATGTGCTTATCAGCGAAGGAAATATATTATTATATACCGACACATATATAAAATATGTCTTATAAACTTTATACATATACTTGACCGGAAAGTGATTTGGAATTGTTTTGGTTACATAAGTAGGTCAGACAATCCGTGAATAAATTTGAAAATGTATTTCTCCCACAATACCTAAGAGACTCGAAACGCTTCAACCAAAGGAAAAATAATTGATAATTTCTCTACCAACACATATGTAACTCAATATTTAGTTAATTTATTATCGGAATTTTTGGGCTCAAACGGGTTGAAAGTTGACACAAGCATTCTCGCCTTATTAGATATCTCATAAGTCAGATATGCAATGGATCAGGACAGGAGTGTGATTTCATTTACTTTTGCTTTTCATTTGAAGTCACGCGAAAATCGCGAAATAGAAAGTGAAGATTTTGCAAACATATCTTCAAGTACTGCCTTTGATTTATAGCCAGATTAAGCCAATAACTCATAAAAACAACAAAAATTCCATGGCAAACGTGTGCCCAGCAGAGGCAATCTTCCTTCGAAGAAAAACTGTACTAGTTCGTAGTATACGCCTGCTGTGATGGGTATCCAAGATTCGGTTCATAATTCTTTGCCTTGTTGTTTATTCGTTTGCTTTCTTAATCATATTTGTTGAGGTTTTCGGGTCATTTAAACTTTATTCTGCTTCAAATGACTCATAGACGTAGAGTTTGCATATTGCGATGTGTGTGAGGAATTCTTGTGCTCAACTCTTAATTTGCTTCTTTTTTTTTTTCTTAAATAACAGAATGACTTATCAATTTATAATTTCCACGCACTAATACAAACGGATGAGGATGTCTCAAGGTGTGTATGTAAAATTTACGCTGGATGGATGATTCAAACTCGTAATGAATTCTTGAGAGTCTTTTTTACGTTTAAGTATTTAAGAGGTAAGAAAACTATATTTAGCCGCGACCGAATCTTTTATACCCATAAACCTTTTATGCTGATCGATAATAGGTAGACACTCATGAAATATGCGAGCAAGTTTTTATCGTTCTATTTGTTGTGATCGATAAGTGATGAATAAAAAAGCAGACTTTTTTTATTCTTGACAACAAATGTGCGTTTAGATTATGTCGTACTATGCTCGCGTCCTTTGACCGATTTGGCTCAATTCCAATACGTAAGAACCTTCAATTTGAAGGCGTATTTTTGCGACCAAGAATTTGCTTACGACAGACATTACACAGCCGGCGTGCCACTTATCCGTGTAACACGGTGACTATCAGAAAGAAGATGTGAAAGAGAAAGAAATAGGGAGGTGGTGGCTGCAGTCGGGTGAGTGTTTTGCCAATCGACAAGGGCTACGTCCTTACCAACTGAGCACTCATTTTAGCTACGACCAAACAGAACTTTATCGTACACGAGACTTGAACCCCGGAAACTTGGTAGTTGTGGTTCTTACCTGCTAGGCTATACACTTTTTGGGGTCTCGGCGGCTTAATTCTAGATGTTACAAACGTTTTCACAAAATGAACATATCCTCCTCCTTCGGCGATGGGTATAAAAAAAGAACAACAAAATAATAAAAAAAACTAGCCAAAGCGTGCTAGTTGAAAAGTTCGCAGAACGAATATAATAAAATCTAAAAAGATTGCATTTTACGGTATATCTCTTTAATGCCTATTTATCCCATACCTTAGTGCTTATCGACTACTTTTATAGGATCTTCACGCAATTCAGCGATCGTTCTATAAATAATTGGACAAGTGCTGCTATCTTGCTGAAAGTAAGTGTCGTCCGCATACACAGTATCAATCTCAAGCCAAAAACATCGATCAGCACTGTAACCAGATCGAACTTGTAGCATTTACACCGCCACAGAGCTTATAATCTTTCAACGAGACTTTCTTTTTCGAAGTAAAGAATACCAATTTTTGGCCAACTATCAACTCTGCCCAAAACTTAACTGTCTGACACCTATCATATATGTTATTTATCTTCAAAATGAGTTACGATCAAGTTGAAATTCATGTGTTCCCCCACCTGTTGGTCCTCAAAACGTATTCTTCTCGAATTTTTCTCTCTGCAATGAATTGCTATTAACATCTCTTGTGGAAAGGTTTAGTGACTGAACGGTTACGGTTTAGAACTTGAGAATAGAAAGAGATTGTGCTCTTTTATAATATAAGCCTTTGATATATGGTACAACATGTAGTTTTTCTACTAGTTTTAATCTGCGAATTTTTCAATTATATGAACATTAGTCATTACCATAAAATGCCTTAAGCATTAATGTTATTAATAACACAGTAAAATTGTTTAAGGCTTTTACACGGACAATCGAATCACGTCAACCGTTGTCAACAATGAAATTGTTGAGTTCACTTTGTCTAAAAAGCAAATAGCAAATGAAAAAAAGGCATAAATGAAAGATGTCATGTTAATCTGACACATCGGGCACTAGGCGCATATGTGAACTGCATTTTTCTATTCATTTTCTTTTCCAGAAACTTATGCATATCAGCTATTTTTCAAATGTGTTTCTCATTCGTTGTAATGTAATTTGTTACTATTGCTGACATGCATACATAAACACACGTATACCCAAGTGAGGTCGTTGTTGCATTTAAAAGACAAAAAAAAAAAAAAAATAAATAAATAAATTTAGTTTTTTCACATAATTGTTTTCAAACAGAAGTAAACTTTGCGAAACTTTTCATGTTTCCCTGGAATTAAATTGATTTGAGAGTAATTTAATCCTTACACTCTACTCTCTAAGCTATACAACATTTAATTAAACTGCCTCAATATTTATATAAAATATATATATATATATATATATATATGTATACAACTATATATATACTCGCTTGCTTATTTTATTTAAATAAATAATGTATATATATATATATATATATATATATATAGATAAGTATATACATGTAATACTCTATACATATAATGCTATATAAAAATATATAATTACATAAATAGCTATATGTTGCAAGCAATAAACTCTCCTTCGTGTTGATATTACTGTTATCGTTGTGTGTTCAGCAACTACACTGTCACATTAAATGGCATTTAAAAAAAAAAAAAAGAAAAAGTTACAAAATCAAAGTTAATCGGTTCAGAGTCTTCAGCATTACAACAACGAAACTGCAGTAAAACAATTAATTTCTTCATGTTTTTAAAGTAGGGTGAGAGAGCTGCTAAGGTGTAAAGTATTCACTACACATACATACTTATACATATATATTGAAATGCCGTCATGAGCAGTTAGTTGTACGTCTAATGATTAACAATTTGTTTTGGATTGTGAATTCAACTATGGCAAATGATTATGTAATTAAATAAGTTTTCCTTTTACCTCTAACTAAAACGGAACGGAGCATCGATAAAATTTTCATGTTTCACATGTTCGTTACAGCCATCTTTCCTGGAGTTCACCAATATATTCTTTCACACAAATTTCTTGTTCTAACATTTGTTTTCAATTTTAACTTGTTGGCTATGTCTGGGATATCAAGAATTTACATATGCAACTTGAGAAGCTAAAGGAAGTGCTACCAACGGACTTTATAACAACGAAAAAGCCAACAGATACGATAGTTGTGCTTAGACATATCTAACATATCTGCTGATGATGGTATTTTTGATCCAGTTCGTTCTAAACGTGCACGCTTGTTGGTAAGTAGCGAGAGAATACTTTGGAGACTGATTTTTATTCCTAATTTGAATCTCAATATATATACGTAGTATGTACTTATGAACTGAATTTTTTAATTTGTTTCTTGTAATAAAAATCAATGATTTTCGTTTTATAGATATGTAAAATGGATCATGTCATAACTTTTTTTGCACGGTTTTTTTTGGGAAAGTATTTTTCCTAAATTTTTTCCCATCTTACACGTTTCTTTAAAGTTATGAAACCCTAACCCTAAATTTACAATAGGCCGCAAATATTTTTGTTAAGAATTTTTCTGGACGGATTTCTAAGAAATGCATCTACCGTGTAAAAAAAGCGATGGTTGTATTAAATTTGTTTGGATATGAGAAACTTAGAATTATTTGAAACGCAAGAAGATACGCATCGTAGATTTTATAAGCTACGTATGTTTGTTCTCAGTTCGAATAGCGGTTACATCTTTATCATGTTTGCCAGTCTATTTTTTGAACCTCAAGGTTTAAAACAAAAAAAAAACAAGCTTGTCTTTAATTTATTTTGCTTTTCGTTATAGGAGTTTACAAGAAAATAATCCAAATCTCACTCTATAAATTTCTGAAATATCTGATCGATAGCGATCAGAAAAAGTACTTTTAGTATACTAACCGGATTTTACGTTAGTTAACTCATTTCCGGATGCATATTGAATAGGAATAGATTATATTCGGAAACCGTCTGTGTTGGTAAAGCACTGAATATATCATATGGTAGCACCTTATTTATATACAATGTTATATGTCACACAATAGTTACGGGTAGGGTTGATTAATTGAATGTCAATGAGAGAAAAAGCCGATGAGTAGTAGGTTACAAGGACTCTCAGTTTGGAACGGGAGCAAAAAAACATTAAGAACGTTTGCTTGTTTTTCTTAATTCAGCAAAGATGGAAGATGATCGTTTTACGTTGCTCCAAGGGTACTCTTGTTGTAAGACCAGTTTTCCCGAAAAGGCACTATTTCAAGGCGAACAACTTTCGTTGGATTTGGCTCATCTTGAAAGATCCATACAGCCGACTGTTGTTCACTTTTCCGCTCATTCGCATAGATTCATGGTTTATCGTTTGTTACGATCTTATACAAGCCCTTCCATCCAACAATCGATGCAAGCATCTTTTTGGCATTTTGTAAAATTATATGGGAT